ACATAAAACTATGGATAAGAACACCATTGCTGGATGGCTACTTTGTTCAGTATCAATAGTAGCAATATATGGTGCTCCAATTGAAGGATTTGAAGTTTCATGTCAATGTGATAAAGTGTTGAAAGCATTAAATGGAAACTAGTCAAAAGACGAAGAAAAAGTGGGAAGCAGCAGCCCGACCAAACCATAAGGTATCCCAAGCAGGGATAACTAATTCAGAAAACCATTACAGCTAAATAAAGGTTATGATGCAGTACTGCCATTTATTTTGAACTGACTACAAAGGAATCATTGAATCTGCAAGTTTGTTACAGATATAAATTTATGGAGAAATACTCAACAAATGCTATGTACCTCAACAGGTTTATGTACAAGAACCTTCGTTATCACTATACCGCGGGTAAAAAAAAAAAAAGGGAAAAAATCATGATTTGCTCCCAGTTTTTAACTACAGTATTTCATTTACCAAATTAACTAAAAGCATTTAAATATTAATCAAGATAATTGTGACCAACAGTATTTAATAATTTAAAAGAATTTAGGTTATTACCATATATCACCAGAAAACATTTGGAATTATCAAAGCCACAATGTTAAAAAAAAAAAAAAAAAAAAAAGTACAGTACAATATTCTTAAGAAATCAAACTTTAACTTCAACCTAATATCAATCAGAAGGAGAATGGCCAAGGCTAGAGCAAATGTACTTATTGTCTGGTCAATTTATCATGGCTTTGAAAAACTTGCAAAAAACAAATTGTTTAAATAATTTAACTATGTCGCTAATGTTGAAGGCCCTAACATTTTAAATTTTCATTTCAATTCAAGATAGTCAATATGTAATGCTGTGGTGAGAAAACGGTGAGGCAATACATAAAGACTATGCAAGATTATATAAAGAGTGTAAGTATATCTATCTAAACTTATCTGAAACACTGTTCACAACTGAGGTGTCTACTCTGCACCTGGCAATTGTTTGGTCTTGTACAAGTTAACGACATGACTCCTGATACTGGCTGTATTACTGCTCTAAGGACACTTGAGTAAACATTATGTTTAACAATGTAAACAGACAATACAGTCTTAAGATATCAAGTTTTATTCTTGTATATTTTATGAGACTTGGAGGATTAACTTGAAAATTTATATTACATTTAAGTATACTCTTGCCCTGGTCTCCCCTTTACCAGGTAAAATTAATTTAATGTTTACACTAGTATACTGTACTGTACCTTAAAATGTAAACATCACCATTCATCCAAAATAATTTGAATATATTAATATATATATATGTAAATTTATCAAGACAAATATCACATTTAAATATATAGCATCTTAATTATGAAACCTCATTCAGCTTCCAGCCTCAAGCAAGAGCTGCAAGATTTGTACACAACACACTGCCACATCTTCCATGTCACGCTTTAACCACTATTGAACAATTTATTATAAAAGTACTGTAATTATGGTACATTATACGTCAAAGCCTAAACAACATGTTAGGTTTTGACATGAATAAAATAATTGTACACATTGTCTTGCCACTAGCATTCAATCGTCAAGTAGCCTTAATCACAACTGACGGGATGGAATGGGTGAGCTCTGCTTCACTTGGTCATACACAGCACACAAACAACTATACATGAGACACACCCCAAAATCAGGCAAATGTAAATTTGGACAATTTCAACTTCAGTAACATAAAACAATTCAAATCATGATTTTTCCTCTTTCGGCTTCATACAGTAACAGGAATCGGAGCAATATTTGTAGGTATAGATGAAACATTGCTTTCCAACCTACCTAAATTAAGTACAGTACATAATGAGTACTAAGGTAACCAGTGGTGCCTAGTATCTGAGAGATCAATCAGCACATTCTCATAATGTAGCTAATACTTGGTTTCCAGGCTGGCCATACAAAAGCTGTACAGAGTACTCCACTAAATACACTTGCATATACTCTTTCATAATAATGTGTAATTATGAAAATATAACTTATTATATAGACATAAAATGAGTTCATATAATATTCTGTATTTACATATTAAAAATCCAACTTAATGCCTCAAAATAAAAGTAAGCTGTCACCCTAACTGCACTATAATACAATGTGTCTTCACTAGAAGCAAAATTCTGCAACAGGAAACTGAAAAAAGTAAATAACTATCAAATTAATCATTGTATTATACTCTCAAGCCACCATGATAATAGACCCAACAATTTATACAGCGTTTGGTTTAATGCCATAAGATCATACTTAACCTGTTCGGTAAAACTTGAAACAAAATTAAGTCTGCACAATACTGTACCAAACTTTAATCATAGTAAAGAAACAAGCCTTTAGAAACCACCTTTACGAGATGTGTTCCACAACTTTCTATCTCGTCCTGCAAGCATCTCACTGTGATGCTTGGCACATGCACCACCCCATCCACCCTACAGCGTTGAGTGGCACCCGCCCCCTTCCCCCATGCATACTGATGCATAGCATCGACCCGAATGTTCGGTGAAACATCCCCTCCACACATTACACTCATGCATGATCTAAGAGAGAGTAAATTATGCAGATGAAACAAATTATAAAGCACAATTAATAATGTGCTAAATGTTTCAGTAAAGCATAATTCAATGGTAAGTCATCAACTGAAATAACATTACCATAATCATCATAGACTTCTATGCAAAAGATATTTGGTAAATGCACCTTAAACTACATTAGTTTTCTCAGCAGCCATCTTGGAAATAATGTATTTTATTAACAAGACAAATACAGCACCAGTAGCTAAGCATAAACTTGAAAAGCACATAATTGTGACGACTGAAAAACAGAAAACAAAATTCAAAGAAAACTCAACAACTTGTGGCCATTTAAAAAGTGTACTAATGCTCATTAACGTCTATAAACGGTAAGTCAATGGAATATTGCAGATCCCTTTGAATGCTGCAGATCACAGACTCACTACTTGCAATATTTCACCTCCCACTCCTCACCTCGTCCTCCAAATTGTACATTTCGGAACAGTAACCTTATTGACTTTTTCCTTAACTCTAGAAAGCTTAAATTTTAAAAATGCATGGTAAAATACCACACAGCAGTCTATGACAAAAAATACACAAATATTTTCTACAGTAATTGGACCAGTATTACCAATGCTGCAAAGAAATGTTGCATGTTTTCTCTCAAAGATTCTCACTTATAATAATAATAATTCATTGTGTCGGGGGACAGGAAACCAGAGTGTATTCATACATGTTTGGCTTTTTATCGAGGTCAACCCCCCCCCCCCCCCCCAAGGCCTAATTATTGACCCCGCCCAGGATGCAACCCCACAACAAGCTGACTAACTCCTGGGTACCTACTGACTGCTAAGTGAACAGAGGCATTAGATGAAAGGAAAATGTGTCCAACCATTTCTGTCCAGTCTGGGATTCGAACCCGGAATTCTCGATTGTGTGTTGAGAATGAACCCGACTGTACTGCCGGGACCCTTCACTTGCTATGATAAACAGGAAGGGGTCAAGCTGCTACAGTAACAGTAATGGTGTTCAATATTATTTTCCATAGCCTATAAGAAATAATGATAAATTTTGAAAACAACATATCCAAAGTGTTCATCTGTTTCAAGTTCATAGTCCATTCTCTCCATCAGTCATGTCTACCCTAAGCAGGAAAGGAAGCCAGTTATAGGAAGACAACAAAATGAGGTGAGTGACATCCGACCTCTAACCCAATAAATGTTCCACACAGCTTCCTACACGACCACAACATTCTACACAACCACATACCACTCATTAATTCAATCCATCTATTTATTCACTTCCTAAAACAGAAGCAAAGCTAAACAAGAGCACTAGAAGAATTTACTTCAGTGCTAAGTCACAAGACACCATTTTGCAATCAAGAATCGTCAAGTTTGAAGACATTTTAGATAACCTGGTCTGCAATTATATCATCAGGACCAACACAGAAATAAGTAATTATCAAAAGAAGACACCAAGCCGGGAAGACTATGCAGCACCGACTTTGTCGCGGGACATTCACAAAATGCTAAATATCACTCAGGATGCTAAAATAACAAAGGGACATAAGGTGAGCAACAGCAAAGATATTGGTCACTAGGGGTTTTATCGAGACACATTAGGAAAAGCAAAAGGAACGCTCTTCCTAAAAATTGGGACATTTCACAAGGTGGTGAAAGACTGTACACAAAAATAGATAAAACAAGTGATAATTACTTGATATCTAATAAACAAATAGTACTAGCCAATTTCCAGAAAACAGTAGTCAAGGCATTCCTAAATATTTCAGTAATATTACTAGTTCATCTCTTAGAACAATTCAGTATTAATTTTGCTACAGTACATCAAAGGATCTAAAACAGAACAACAATCTCAAGGAATATTCATTTATTGATAATGAGTGAATTGCTAGTAGCAATCAATAAATGTTTCCAATGTAACAATTGAAAATGACTAATTATCAAAAGCACCACGCCCATAACAATTTAAAATAAATATAAACATTTTATCAAAAATATATATCGATGTATAAAACAAATCGGCTTCCTTGGCCATTGGGACATTGATCCTCAGAACCACATCAAGGTAACTACTGTATTTCCATCACACACTCCTCTTCTCTCTAAAATTTGATGAGGTGACAATATAGCAAGCAAATCCAGGAGCCAGGACAGAGAAAACAACACCAACGCCAACACAAAAGATGAACACCAAAGAGAGTAACAGGCAGAAGGCCCACTAAACCACCATATAAAGCCACTGAGAAGAAAGTCACCAATACAGTAATCAACCAAATTGACAAAAAGGAATTCTTGAAATTAGCAACTTCACGAACAAGAGGGCACAGATTCAAGCTAAGGAAACAAAGGTGCTGAAAAAATATTAGAAAGTTTTCTTTTGCAAACAGTGGTAGACAGTTGGAACAAGCTAAGCGAGGTGGTGGTGGAGGCCAAAACCGCCAATAGTTTCAAAGTGTTATACGACAAAGAGTACTGGGAAGACGGGAACTACACGTGTGGCTCTCATCCTGTAAATACACTTAGTAATTGCACCCACCCAAGGACAGCAATAGCCTACAAAACCACAGGAATGATGTTTTTTACTGTTCCCCACACAGGTCAAACAGACAGAAGTTAAACACCCACACCGTAAACAGCACACACTTATATGCTAGAACGGTTACCATTATGGGAATACCTTGAGGTGAAGACCCAGCCGAGGGGCAACAAAGCCAGGAAAAGCCCGAGCACCAATGAAGAAACGTACCATGACCAAGCCCCTCCCCAACAAAATCTGAGAGTACAAATTTGACAGAATCCACCTAATGCAAAATGGGCCTGCAAAACACAGCTCAGACAGTGGTGAAAGAATGCTGACCAAAGAAAGTAGGAAAGTGCCCACAACCAGCTGAAACACCCCAAACGGTGAATGAGTGGCTGGCAGGAAAGCCCAAACCATCCTAGCATCAAATAGAGCTCTTAAGTGCAGCCATAACACAGCAAACTGAGGGACAGGGAGGCCAGTCTGGCAACATGGACCAGACCAGCCAGACCCTGAAGAGAGACCAACAGGGATGTACTCCAACTGATCAAAAAGCCAGAGTGGGCTACTAAAAAGCCAGAAGCCAAAACAGAACCAGACCCATGGCCAGCATAAAAAGTGGTCAACCGGAGGTCCTAAGTAACGAGCCGCCAAGATAGGCCAGGCCTACATTCTTCCCAAATCTTCATAAATCATTATGCACAAATTATATATATTTTAAAACCTTTGTTGAACATTAAAGATATTAAAAATATAATTATGTGTACAGTAGTCTTAAATATGAGGCGAGATGAAGGATTTTGATTAAAAATTTAATTTCAAATTACTGTACTTTAAAAGTGAGTGCACCTACAACACAAGACTGACAAGTCCGTGGCAAATTAGTAATCATCAAGAAAGCACCAAGCTTGGTAGACTAAGTAACATTGTCTGTGGTGTAAAATGGTGAACAAATATTCTTAGTTTAGATATCAGCGAGGATACCAGTACGAAAAAACAACAAAAAACCCAAGGCAATTGATGATGAAACTATCTGATTCACGAAGAACTTTACTGAAGGATAAATGAATCAAAGGGACATTGGGAAAGCAAGATTTCTGAGCATCTAGAAAATTAAAACATTCAATGAAGAGGAAAGTGACTTTGCATAACAATGGAATTTGAAAGTAAGATACAGGTTCTTGTTCCATTAAGTGTCACAATTAATCTTGTGTACCCTATAAGCAACATCAGTCACATTTACTAATTGTGGCAAGATGGTATAGTAACAAATTTAGTAACACAAAGTTGAATAATAAATGGGTTACTGTATAAGAGTGATGAATAGTGCATTAAAGTGAATTGAAAGATTCTAGGTGGGAGACAAAACTTGAGATTGACCAAGAGACTGCCAGCATCTGTGAGATTATCCAGCTCAGGAGGGAGGGGGAGGGAATTATCAAAGGAAAGTGCTAAGCATTACAACTAGATAGCACTTGGGAAGGGGTCAGGATAAGAATTTGGGATGGGACAGGGAAAAGGAATGGTGCCCAACCACTTGGACGGTCGGGGATTGAACGCCGACCTGCATGAAGTGAGACCGTCACTCTACCGTCCAGCCCAAGTGGTTGGACATCAAGCTCAGGAGCCATCATCATTAAATGTCACCAGTAACCTACAACCTGCCTTCCCCACAAAACAAAACCATTCTTTCTGGGAGTAATTATGCTCCAAAGTAATTAAAAAAATTGATTAATAATTATGATCCTCTCTGCCATCTACTGTATATGCCCATTTATGTATTTTTTTCAAATCAAAGTAAGAAATTAATTAAAAATTGCAAAGCCAGTATGACTGTTCAGCACCATTCAAGCCCACTCTGGATAATTTGCTACTTGGTACAATTATATATCTTGAAATTCAACCTTGCAATCTAATTTTTGGGGCACTGCCTTTATCACTAGAGAAATTGTCTAAACAATTATAGTGTGGCACAGTGGTCCTATACACACACACACACCATACAGACTGTGTGTGTCTCACTCACCTCTTATCTATTCACACAGCTACTTTTATCAAAATGAAAATGTCCTTACACATACTTTACCAAAACCCTTGTCCTACTGTGAACCCAGCTAATAATTGTCCCCACCCCTACTGTGAACCCAGCTAATCACTGGTCCTCACCCCCTACTGTGAACCCAGCTAATTATTGTCCTCACCCCCTACTGTGAACCCAGCTAATCACTGTCCTCACCCCCTACTGTGAACCCAGCTAATCACTGTCCTCACCCCCTACAGTGAACTCAGTTAATCATTGTCCTCACCCCTACTGTGGACCCAGCTAATCATTGTCCTCACCCCCTACTGTGAACCCAGCTAATCATTGTCCTCACCCCTACTGTGAACCCAGCTAATCATTGTCCTCACCCCTACTGTGAACCAGCTAATCATTGTCTTCACCCCCTACTGTGGACCCAGCTAATCATTCCCCTAATCCTACTATGACTCCAGCTAATTATAGTCCTTATTTTATCTATTAACATCTAAGTTAATGACATTTCCTAATACTGTACTCTTCTACCCTACACTTCCCAAATTTGGCTCAACCCCCTCCTACACCAACCATTTCCCCCTACTTCTACCATTCCCCTCCATCATGCCCCTTCCCCCACAATATGTCCTATTCCTACCATTCCCCTCCTATGGCTCTAGCCCCTACCCCCCATATTCCTACCATTCCTCTTTCCTCCTCTTTTACCACTGACCACCACAACCTTGACTTAGTTAGTCTTGATATCCTACAGTTCTCCAACATGTGGGTACTCTTCTAACTTGACGGTTACCAACAGTCAACAGTCGTGATATAAAGGCCCACAGTATTTTAAAACTATCTTCAATTAATTTTATCTTCATCTACAAGCATACTTTGGACATTTTCATCATGGTATAAAAAAAAATAAGCAGTTTGCAAATTGTTCACAGATCTGTGTACACAGCACTAAATATACATGACTTCTGTTTACAACACACCATTTAAATGTTCATTAGCATTAGAAATGTGTGTTTATACAGAAAGCCTTACCAAGATTCACCAAGAAATTCAACTTATCTAAAGCAGTACTAGATCAGATGCAGGCTTTTAAATACAGGCATTCAAAACTTTTATGCACAATTAGTGACATTGTGTTAAATGATAATTGCGACAGTTTCCATACATTTTATACATACTAAACATTGAGATTCGTCATTGCACACTACGCAAGTCGACCCACTCCCAAGCTCTGGAGTACCTTCTGACACACAGAAATGGAATGAGGTGTTTACATATTACAAGTGCACTGGATTGGACCTCTAGGCCATCCGAGTGAGAGCCCAACACAATAACTCCTCTGCCACCAAGTCTCCAGACTAACGCAATGTCTAAACTGCTCAAATGTCATGTTATCCATCATATCCACATAAATAAACTACTGTATCTGTATTCAAAATTATGAGAACATACAAAAATCTATAACCAAATTTTTGCTTTACCCTTTAAATAATCTTATTTGGCGCATAACAAGCAGAAGCAAGATGCAGTCTCAATTCATAAAAAAATTTAGGAACACAAAAGACCTTTTTCTCTACTATATGCTGCATACAACTAAATGCAATTTTTAACATTTCATTGATTTTATGTTATTTGGTATATGCAAGACGCTTAAAAATAAATAAAATAATAAATAATGACTGATGCATGGCAGTGTTAGCAACTAACAAATCACTATGCAACAAAAAGAGATCATCTCTTCATGTAACTTCACTATCACAACATTCTTGTATCAATTTTGGCATTAAAACTTTCACAGAGCAAATTTCCCTAACATTAGGAACAATCTGTAAATTACTTGAGCTGCAATGCAGTGTTCTGGAGTTTCAAGTACACAAAGAAAGAATAGATTTACACTGAGCACCAGTGCTTTAAAGGTTTACACTGTGAGCACCGGTGCGCTAAAGGTTTACACTGTGAGCACCAGTGCTTTAAAGGTTTACACTGTGAAAGCTTGAGTGCTGCAAGCATTGACAATGTGTTACTCTCTAGAGATTTTATCTGATATCAACTCTTACCAATAAAGGGTAGTGACATTTTTTTAAGCGCTGTTCCTATGTGGGTCCCCAAGAAGACACCTATGAAGTTAAACCCCCAAAGAAGTAAACACACCATGCAGGGCAAAGCCTCCAAGGATGTGATCACACCACATGACGCAAAGATGTGAATACACACTACATGATGCAAAGCCTTCAAAGATGTGAAAGCACCATACAAGGCCAAGCCTTCAAAAATGTGAATGCACCATACAAGGCCAAGCCTTCAAAGATGTGAATGCACCATACAAGGCCATGCCTTCAAAGATGTGAATGCACCATACAAGACCAAGCCTTCAAAAATGTGAATGCACCATACAAGACCAAGCCTTCAAAGATGTGAATGCACCATACAAGGCCATGCCTTCAAAGATGTGAATGCACCATACAAGACCAAGCCTTCAAAGATGTGAATGCACCATACAAGGCCATGCCTTCAAAGATGTGAATGCACCATACAAGACCAAGCCTTCAAAGATGTGAATGCACCATACAAGACCAAGCCTTCAAAGATGTGAATGCACCATACAAGGCCATGCCTTCAAAGATGTGAATGCACCATACAAGGCCAGGCTATCAAAGGTGTGAAAGCACCATACAAGGCCAAGCCTTCAAAGATGTGAATGCACCATACAAGACCAAGCCTTCAAAGATGTGGATGCACCATACAAGGCCAAAGATGTGGATACACCATACAAGGCCAAAGATGTGGATGCACCATACAAGGCCAAAGATGTGGATGCACCATACAAGGCCAAAGATGTGGATGCACCATACAAGGCCAAAGATGTGGATGCACCATACAAGGCCAAAGATGTGGATGCACCATACAAGGCCAAAGATGTGGATGCACCATACAAGGCCAAAGATGTGGATGCACCATATGAGGCCAAACCATTAGGGATATGAATGCACCAAGCCGGGGAGACTATGTAGCACAATCAAAGTCTCAGGATTTTTAAAAGGAGCTAAATATCACTAAGGATGCCAATATGGAAACAAAAGTGCTCAAGGCGAGTGTTATCAAAGAAGGATTCTATCGAGGGACAGTCGGGAAGCAAGATACAGTAATATGCACGCACTGGAAGTCAGGACATTCAACAAGGATATGCACAACTGTAAGAGGGACAATGCTGTTCGGACAATAAGGAGTAGGGGTGATGCTCCATTAAGGGTCCACGTGCTAAATGTGTACGGCCAGTATGTAACCTTGCCAGAGCTGTTTCCCACCACCAGTTACGGCAGGAGGAGGAAAGCCAAGTGGACAGGCTATCCTTAAGAGCACGCAGTTTGTTACCAGGAACAGAAGACCACCGACACTACCAATGGGCACAGATTGAGGAATGAATGATTGGGTAGAAATAGGAATAAGGAATGCCTTTTTTGGGAAATAGGACAAGCACACGAGTCTAAGCTTTCAAGGATGTAAATGCATGATACGAGGCCTAGCCGTCACACAAAGCTAAGTCATGATGGATGTGAACATGCCACAAGGCCAACTCATCAAGTATGTGAATGCACCAAACGAGAGCAAGCATTCAAGGATGTGAATACACCAAATAAGGCCATTACTGAAAGTAATACATCTATTTGTCTTGAAACAAGCTTGTCCATGGTGAAGCATCAACTTCACTAGAGAATTATTTTACATTTTATTTTTGGCTGGTATTTCTCTTGAGTTGTCCAACAAGCTCACAAAATCACAGTTCAAGTAGCTTACAATATAGTGCAGCTAAATCTGATACATCAGTTACAATTCTTTATACCCATACTGTGAAAGGTGCATATACAAATCTGTACTCTTAATATAAACACAGTCGAATTCATCAATATTTTGAATATTGAATAGTGCTAATAACTTTACTGTTTACAGTATACTGTAATTTTATAAAACCAAAACACAATGTTTTTCACATTAATGGTTCTAACATGTATATTAGTATATATTGTCTCTCATAGAAGCACATTATCACCCCCCACACACTCATATAAACATTATCGTCCACACATTTTCATACACTTAAAAGAAAAAGGCAATTGCTGAACAAGAAAATATACCAATAAGGCTAGCAGACCTTGCCTATATCTGACCAAGAAATAGGAAAATTTGACTTTGTTAATTTGATTTTTATGTTTCCATTATGGCATTTAGTGGCACACGTGTTACCTTCAAGGGTGCCTTGATCAGTACACATTCCTCCTCTACCCGCTCTGTACAACCGACTAGCAACAAAGCAAGCAGCGTTGCATACCAATAATAGTAAATAGCTACATGGTAACCTGTTAAACAAAGTAAAGAAATGGGTGAAAGAGGCCCACCATATTCTTGAGTGATGGGGGCTGCCATCCGCTACAATCACTTAATAACAATGGAATTACTGTATAAATATTAGGACTAATATTTTGGTCTTGTATATTAGCATACAAGTACAGCTTCTATTGGGTACACAATAAAGCTTCATTAACTGAAAAAACGTTTTTCTGTCAATAATACAAAATACTTAAATGTAACAAATCTTTTAAGCCTACACAACTCAAAATGTCATGTGGTAAATATTTAAAGATTGATAAAGTACATGCAGACATCCTCGTTAACTGCTTAAATACAACAAAATAAGTCAAAATAAAATAGTGATATGTAATGGGTAGCAGCCCCATGAAACAAATAACAGGACCCTATCACTACATGTAATAACAACTATGACAATATACACAATTGACCAATATGATACTTATAAAATGGAGAGGATATATATATATATACCAGCTTATAAATACTAGTGATATAAACATTGCCAATGTAATACACTGGCAAAGCTAAAAATACCATAATTCGTATCAGTTTGTAAACCAAATCCAACTCAATTTCACAGACTGCCACCATCAGTTAGGATCTATGTTATAATGACTATAGCATACATAGTATTTTTAACTTTCCAGGTGAACCATGGACAGCATCTGCAGCAGCTTGTAAATCTAGTAGTAGCAACTGTAAGGTGTTGACTATGCATATGTCAAATACTTAAATTCATCTCTCACATTAGTTAATATTAAATTTACATAGCCTAGAACATTCACAGCTCAGCTATCAGTGTCAAGTAACACACTCTTCTTCACCCTTTACTTCTTTCAAGTCTTCAGCATCTTGGCTGTCTTCCTCAGCCTCATTATCACCCTCACACTGTTTATCTGGACCAGTTTTATTAGGGCTTTCTGCCTCTTCTTTATTACTCTTTGAATCTAGATACTGCTGTACATTATTGTAGCCCATTTTCCCAAGTCTTTGCACAATCTGACCTACTGCTTGTTGCCCAAATGCCTTTCGACACAATGAACAGTTACATATCCCTCTGCACACAGGGCAGCACCAGTCAGGGTCCAGTAATGCCTTACGAGCATCTTCGCCATACCTTGTGCGTAAACACGGGCCACAGAAAAACCCTCTTAAGCCTACACATTTCCCAGACCTACATATAGTTTTTGTATCTGATGTTTTTTGTCGGCACTGGTGACAAGAAGTTCCATTTTCCTGGTCGTGTGTTTTTTCCTTTGGTTTAGTTGCAACACGATTCAACATTTCTTCTGTGACCTCTTCTGGTTTTAAGATATGTTCTATCTTTCTACGGACACAAGGAGTACTCTTTCGTTTTTTCCTGGAACCATCTGTCACTTTGCCCGATTTACGAGACTTTGTCTTGGTAGTCTTAGGAGTGACTTGCAAGTTTTCTTTGATACCTTCTGCACCACTTTGCTCCAAAAACCAGTCCATCCAAGCCTTGGGAGACTTAGGAGCCTTAGGAGAGGCATTAGAAGCAGAGTCTTTTTCTTTCGATGAACCCGAAGATTTTGTGGATCTGGTTTTTTTCCGAGGACGATCTCTGTTTCCTTTGATGAGGCACTGGGCTAATATGGACGAGGTTAGAGTCCCCACATCATCCTGAAAAATCGACAAGATGGATTTACTCACAACGGTCCAGATCATATTCCCTCCAATTCTTAAATTTACTAAAATTCTCCCACTGAAGCATGGACAAGGACAAAGCAGATAAGCAGTTCTAATGTCCTCTCAATTTCTGAGGTATTCCAGGCCAGTGTAGGGTTAAAGCAAGCCCCAAAGTGTGTTGGTAAATCCATCTTGCCTTTCTACAACAATATATGTCACCAGGGACAAATTGGACATGTGACAGAATTGGAAATGAAGATCCTTATGAGATACCTTCATAAGGTTTGTTTTTCTTAGTAAATGATGAACTACTACAGACTAACACACAAATAATCAAATAGCAGAAAGTCTTTACAATAGTCCATCAGATACACCACCATATTTATTTTGAGAAAATGCTCAATAAGTCCTTGTGAAATAACACAAGTTTATTAAAATAACTGTCACAAACACAATTACAAATATTCATCTACACATCACAGAACACAAGCACATATACATATACACTACATATACAGAACTGGCAACACAAACACCTCAAACTTTATCTAAAATTTGTATCATTTTAAGATTTTTTCTATATACAGTACTGTATATTCAACCCAATCTTAATTTTAATGACGTATAAAAACAAAATTAGAAATAAAACGTAAATAATTTTCTCTCCTCATGAGGAAACAGGTGGAGACATTATAGTACCACCTGAAGGAGTATGAAGACTTGAAAAGGAACTGGTTTGTGCATAGAAAGGGTTCTGGGAGTTACTCTACTACCCCAAGCTCAGCCAGAGGCCAGGCTTGACTTGTGAGAGCTTGGTGCTTGGGGCAGCTAGTAGGCCCACATACCCATTACAACCCAGTAGAAGCTTCCAAACAGTTATCAAAGGATTGAACACATTGCTTGGACCACTGTAAGGGTTGCTGCCGCTTGCTTACACAAAAAAAAAAACAATTATTCAAGAGTAAAATGACTTGACTAGTGAACAAGAAAAAGGAAGAAAATTCATACGAGAAAAAATAAAAAATGGAAAAACGGTATTTATTAGACAGCCAGAAGGACAAAGACATTAACAAGAGGCCAATAGATGGTAGGGTGGATCTTCTATTCTTTACACATGTGAAATTGGTCTACAATTCATTTCCATATATTTGTATGCACTACAGTAACCTTATGAAGGAACTTAACAAATTTTATTTCCCAAAACTCTGCTTGACAAGCCTTTATCACAGGTAATGTGTGTTTAAGAACTGAACTATACAGTGGGCCAAAAGTGTTATGCGGTTATAACAAGGGCAATGTCTCAAAACAGTGAGAACAACAGAGTGTGTACACACTAGAGGCTTCCATCTCATATGATTCGTTTTATTATGATGCTTGCGCTTCATTTTTAGTTAGCAACTGTCTTCATTTAAAGCACATGGGACTATATTTCCCATTGTCAATGATTAGAAGCTTGCTAGGATTATTGAGATATCCCTAGGCCAACAACTGACCTTTCCAAGGATGCAACCTACAACAGTCAATGGTTACTCATTAAGTACTAGGTGAACAGGTGAATCAGATGTTAAAAAATGTGTCTAAACATCCTGACCTATATGGAACGGAAATGGTGGGGCAAAGGAATGCGAGTGACAAAAGGAAGAGCAGATATAATAAGCTCTCATCAACGACAGCACCACAACCACTTCGTCTGAACTTTGGCTCATGCTTCAATCTCTAACTCTTTGCCCTTTGGGTCATAGGAGAACACAGTCTCTTCACTATGGCAAGGCCATGCTACAAGGGAAGGGGCAGATGCGTTAAAATGTAACATGAAAGACATTTAAATATAAAAAAAGCAAGAGCTAAGTTTCAAAAAGATAGTGACAAGGTTGTGTAAGGCTACAATGAGTCAATTGGTGTACTGATTGTAGTGTACAGAATAATGTACTGTACAGCATACACATGTATTTTGAGAGTGCTCTTCCATGTACAGAAAACTGTACAAGTTGTAGAAGAAAAACAGATTGCTGAATGGCTCGGTGATTGGGGATAGTTCAGGTGGAATGATTCTAATATTGGGGATAGTTCAGGTGGAATGATTCAAAGATTGGGGATAGTTCAAGATAGTGGGATGGTTCAAAGATTGGGGATAGTTCAAGATAGTGGGATGGTTCAAAGATCAGGAACAGTTCAGATGGTAGATGGGTCAGACAGGAACTCTCCTGAAAAGGAGATGGATCCTGTAACCTTCAGATTGAGCGAGTATAGATGTTGTGATACCACCATAGCATCCCACTACCATTTGTTATCGAGTTGGCTCACAAAATAATTTTGTTTAGTAAATATTTTTAGGCCTATTTCAGGAGGCCTGGTCAGAAATCGGGCTGCGGGGGACAGTGACCCCCACCCCCCGAATCAATGCATTTTTAGTCTATTCCTGTCAATTTTAGGTTGCCTTTCGCAAGTTTCAGTATTATTAATATGGCACAATTTTCACGTGCAAATAATTACTGAAACTTTAATATATTACAGAAATTCCAAATAATATTACACTATTTGCAAATTTTATATTGTACGATTGAAACCAACATGTATACTAGTACGACAAGCATCTAATCCATCCCACAATTTATAACCAAAAAGTACACTACCACCATGTTGCCGGCCACAAACACACTGCTCTTTAGTCGTTTACATGGAATATTAAGTTCATCAACTTTAAGTAGAAAATCACTGCGTTCGGTCATTTGTAGCTCCAGTTTCCTAAGGATACTGGGGTATGATACGACGAGCAGCAAATGTCCCGACACTGGATGAAACTACTGTAAATGCAAATATTTTTTACTTTTTGTAAGTACTGTACTGTATGATGTATGGTTTATACAATAAATGTATCATATTACCAACCCACATTACTTCTTTGCTAAAATGTATTAATACTTGAGGAAGAATAGGTACGGTGGACGGGCCACCGAACTTTCAAGCCTCCTCTCTCCACATCCAAATCCTCTTCCAAGAATTTCATCGCCCCATCCTTCTTCCTCCCACATCCTTTCCAAGCTCTTTGGACATCAAAGCGAAAGCGAAATAGATAAGTTTATGACACAGTAAATGTGTGTCATATTTAGTTCTTTATTATTTGACCAAATTCACAGACTTGCATAATCCTTGGTATTATTATTGATGTATGAATGCCCCCACCCCCCAGGGTACAAAGTATCCATTTTCCCCAATGGGGGATGCCTCTGTTTACTCAAGGTCATTTAAAAATGTCTATGTATATCCAACATTTGCTAATTGGAAGCTTTAACAGTCTCAAAGTATTGCAAGTTAAATATGATGTATGCTGATGATGCAGATCTTTTAACAGGTAATGATATAAGTATATGTTGCTTGGTTGCAAATGTCAATCTGTGCAAGAGAAAACTATTAAAAGTGAATGATGACAAATGTAAAGTTACACTGGTAGAGAAAACATTGTGTTATGTTATTGTAATGAATAAACTGGTGCTACAAGTACTGTATGTGAGAGTGACTAAGGAATTTATGATAGTTGTGAATAGAGGGGGGGCACAGGGATGGAAGATGGCTGGTGCAACAAAAGCCCAATTCAGGAAGAAATGAGGTGTGAACAGAAGATGCTTGAAGAAGTCAAATTACCAACCCTAGTCAGTGGATCGTCCAGCGATGCTCGTGTGGCATAAACAACAAATCAAGAATTACAAAAGCAAAAGTAGACAATCTGAGAAGCAAATGTCATATTACAAGAAAAGATATATTTTATGCAGGTGTCATTTTATGGGAATACCTGTATATATCTGAGAAGTGCGTTCTGGCTACTAGGTACGACATATATATATATATATATATATATATATATATATATATAATATATATATATATATATAATATATATATATATATAGTATATATATATATATATATATATATATATATATATTATATTATATTATATATATATATATATATATATATATATATATATATATATATATATTATATATATATATATATATATATATATATATATATATATATATATATATATATATATATATATATATATATATATATATATATATATATATATATATATATATATATATATATATATATATATATATATATATATATATATATATATATATATATATATATATATATATGTCGTACCTAGTAGCCAGAACTCACTTCTGAGCCTACTATGCAAGGCCCAATTTGCCTAATAAGCCAAGTTTTCATGAATTAATTGCTTTTCGACTACCTAACCTACCTAACCTAACTTTTTCGGCTACCTAACCTAACCTAACCTATAAAGATAGGTTAGGTTAGGTTAGGTAGGGTTGGTTAGGTTCGGTCATATATCTACGTTAATTTTAACTCCAATAAAAAAAAATTGACCTCTTACATAATGAAATGGGTTGCTTTATCATTTCATAAGAAAAAATTTAGAGAAAATATATTAATTCATGAAAACTTGGCTTATTAGGCAAATCGGGCGTTGCATTGTAGGCTGAAAAGTGAGTTCTGGCTACTAGGTACGACATATATAATAAAAATGTTATGGAGAAATGCAAGTGCAAAAATCAGTCAAATATGACTGAGGAGATGGGGTTCTAAGAAAGCTTGGTTATGCTGAACGAATTGATGATAATCAACTGGTCGGAGAGTATTCAAGTAGTTAAGGTTAGATCACAGCCGGCCAAAGAGAGAGTGAGTCAGTGTGTGTGAGGAAGCAGGGTTTTGCTTCACATTGTTGGTGACTGGAAATGTGTTAAGTTTATCAAAGTTCCCCAAGGCCAGTAAACTGACCTTTTACAAGATGCAATGCACAAAAGTAGCTTAACTCATTTACTGCAAAGTGAACAGAGGTATAAGGTGTAAGGAAACATGCCCAAGTGTATCATCCTGCCAGGAATCAAACCCAGCACTTTTCAATTTTAAGCCATCTGCACTGACACACACACGACAAGTAACCTAGAGTGAACAGAACACAAAAAAGTGACCGGTAATAATGCCAGCTGGCATACGTTTGTAAAGTAAATGTTTCTACAGCACTACACGGAAACTAACGATGACTGTACACGTTAACTTCATGAAGCAATAAGAGTTTGTGGATGATTTTCCAACATGAGGTTGTGCTGGATGACATGTACAGTAACGTGCTGTACATGTCATTTAGACGTAGTAATGGACAATTTGTTATATCTTTAGCCTTCTTCCTGTACTGCTTCCTCTTTCTTCTCCAGGCTGACGTCTCTTTCCCCACCCCATGGAAATGGAGAACCGTAATGATCAACAGCCATACTGTACTTACCACGGTGAAGAGAGTAACATCGTGCAATTTATTGCAGACATAAAGTAAAGATGCAGTGATAAGACAAAGGACATTAATGCACTCATACGCTACTGTGTCAACAAACTGCAATGCATCAAGAAACTACCGTACATCAACTACTGTGCATCTACAAACTACTGTGCATCAACAAACTACTGTGCATCAACTAACTGAAGTCCTTGGATCTTGCATGCAATCCATCTGACTCTTGGGCTTATTTATGGGAAATTATAAATTTAAATTCAGTTAAATAAACCACTGCTTCTAAAGTTCTTTGGATAAAAACTATTGAGTTTAATAACCATTGGTTATGATCTAAGCAATATTTAAGTCATTACTTTCAACCTTACAGACGAGTTTCCAAATTTCAACATAAACGGGTCCAAATTAAGTTGCTACAGGTGTTTGCATTTTCTCAAATTGAGCTTCAGATTGAGATCAACAGAACAAGGATGCAGAGAATGTCACACTAACAACTAGTATAGGCCCACAAATGACTGAAACAGTGTCCCTGTCATTATACGTGAGGGTTGCAGCTAGGTTTATAGGCATAGCTATTACCACCTATTAATTTTCACATTGATATTGGACCTCAACTGATCACTCTAGGAACAATGGCTTCACAATGATATCTGTGACTCTTAGAACATTTATCTTGGCTGTGTTGTGTTAAAGATTTGCCATTAGTCTACTGGACACGGCCACTAGGTTGAAAAGGTGGTCTCACTTCTGTAACCTCCCCCCCCCCTCCCCTCTATCCCTTTAATATCTCTACCTTCATATCTAGTTGACACTTTGAGGAGTCTGGAGAACTGAGAGCCCATTTCCAGCCATTGCCACAATGTTGTCTCCTAAACTATTAATATCAAAGCTGGCACCTTCAATGTGGTTGCTAGAGACCTACACCAAGGTAATTATCACGATCATATAAAATGTTAGATATTTTGCAGAAGCAACTTGCATTTTCAATAGTAACTTTCAAATGAACAGATAAAAAAACATTGTTTATATTGGAACTTTAATTCATTTTTACCACATATCATCATGGTGGTATTTTATTTTACTACTTTAACTACTATCAGTAAAAATAAATTAACTGCATTTATCTTAATTTTGTAAGTGTTGCAGATAAAAAAAAGTACAGGTAAATGAATAAAGCATGACAGAGGGAAAAATGAGAAACACTATTACCTTACCATAAACTTTCTAGACAGAAACCATGGAAGCTGAACCTTAGGACCATAAGGAGAAATAAGAGTAAAACCACTGACCTCACGATGTTTGCGACGACGATGCTCCTCTGCCATGGCTGCCACCCCATCGTCATCTACATACTGCTGCTGCAGGAGAAATGTGCTTAAAGATCCAGTGCAAAGCCTTCCTATGCCAACGTACACACTATAACAAACATTTAGTAGCAAGCACATGCTCATTTTATAATGCATGTACATGCGGGCACATACCCTTATCTCTACAACGGGCATTACATAAAGCACGTACATGCACACAACCCCTTTCACACTTTCTCCCTCACCCAGTACCACACCTTTTCCCCTGCCTTTCCTTTCCCTTGTAAAGCCCATTCCATATGTAAACAGTCACCACCACCTTCTCCAGTCAAGTTGACAAGCATAAGAATTGAGTAAATGAATGCCAATAGATTCTCAAATAAGTTGGGGAAACTCCCGAAGAGGGTACAGGAGCTGCAGCTACATAGTCGGGGAAACTTCTGAAGAGAGTACAGGAGCTGTAGCTACATAATCGGGGAAACTCCCGAAGCGGGTACAGGAGCTGCAATCAAATAGTCGGGAAACACTAAGAGGGTATATGAGCTGCAGCTACATAATATTGCAATAATTAAAATGAAACTTAATAGCAATAATGGAGGCTGCAGTCTTTCTAAGGGACTATCAGGTCACAAGATGAGGTGATAGGGGGGGGGAGGGTGAGTGTGGTACTGACACTTCACATGATTACCACTGAGGAAATACCAGTGGTAGAGATGGCCAACCAGCAACACTACAGTCAAGGTGTAATACTGATGGTGGACAAAAAAATAGTGAAGTGGTCGTACACAATCCAACGACAAAAGCAGGAGACCAGGTGAAGAGTATGACTAGATCAACAGTAATAGCTTAAAAGTCAGAACACACAGTGGCTACACAGTTTGTAATCAGGAAAGACTTGGGGTAAATACTGGTCTAGAAATGGGGTTATTGATTAATGGAACAAATTACTGGGTAGTATAATAGACGTGGGATTGCTGGATTGTTGCAAGTGTAGGTTAAACGTATATGTACATACGTACGTGTGTGTGTGTAATCTAATATAGTACATGTGTGTGCTATATTAGGCCTAATATAGCACACACATGTACTATATTAGATCTCCGATAGCATGTATAAGGCCTAGGAAGGTTAGGTTAGGTTAGTTTAGTTTGACTTTGCAACATAACTAGAAAATTGTTTTCAAGTCTGTCCAAATTCAATAGTACTGATTTCTACTTTCTACTACAGCGTTGTATGTCGGTATATGTACTATGATCCCCATCCTTGCTATAAGTACTATCAAAACAGGAGGATGGGCTGTAGTATGGCACTTAATCAGTAAGCTAGCTTCAGGAAGCCAACAGGCTTTCCCCTAGAAAAGCCTCTGATGCAGTCTGATGTAAGCAATGCAGTGGGACCAGACCAGATTTTGTCAAAACTACTCAAATAGGCACCAGGGATACTCTGTAACCCACTAACTACAGTCTATAATGCAACACAAGACAATTGAGAGCTAGCAAAAGTTTAAGGAACTGCTGATGTCAATATTCAAGAGGGGGGTGGGGGGGACAGACATTAGACCCTAAATTATAGACCAATGTCACTGATGTGCATTCCCCTTTGATGTATTGGGGGAAAATAATTGGGATATAATCATATGTAATTAGAGTGGGAAAACTTAGACAGCAAATCTACCCTATCTAACAGATTTAGATTGCCAAATGCTTTCGAGATTTTCACCAGATAATTTGCACAGAAAATTAAAAAGTCGTCAAACTACTGCAGACATTTGTCAGTAGCAGCCTATCATGTGAAGTATTCTGCTAACTATACCAGGCATGTATCAATACACAACCTGCAGCTGAGAAGACCACAAACCAAACATTTATCTTGAGGTTATCTTAAAAAAAAAAAAAAGCCCCGAAATCATCTTAAGTGTCCCTGCGGCCTGGTCCTCGACCAGGCCTCCACCCCAGGAAGCAGCCTGTGACAGCTGACTAACTCCCAGGTAGCAATTTACTGCTAGGTAACAGGAGCATCGGGGTGAAAGAAACTCTGCCCATCGTTTCTCGCCGGCACCCGGGATTGATCCCGGGACCACAGGATCACGCGAACAGTGTTCTGTCCGCTCAGCCACCGGCTCTCACATGAGGCAGAAGCCAGGAAGACTATTTACACACAGTGACAGTTTACAGAAAAAAATAGCCCACACACACAGGAAGAAACTCAATAAAGGTAAAAGGTAACCAGACCAAAGCCTCAACTACTGTCTTGGATAAAGCTTTCTCTTAAATTCAGGAAAAGCCTCCAAACTCTGCAGGAAAGCCAAAGCTGCCGATGAAGTCTGGTGGTGTAAAAAAGGTACCTGCCCCTTCCATAGGTAACAAAGAAAGTGTCATCCCACATGAATGAGGAAGGAGACAAAAACAAAACTGCAAACCTCCCAGGAATAAAGGCAGTACAGTATATTACAACCAGACACAAGCCCCATACCTCACAAACATCTGCATGAGAGGAGAGCCAAGCTTCTTAGGACTTACACCCAAAACGTTTGGTTGACTACTTGATAGCCTACAGTCTTGTGCTGGTGTTACTTCAAGCAGAGCCACACATTTTGTAGCATTGACTTGCAAGTCAAAGTACCAAGAGCAAGAGCCATCTCTTAATAAAAGAAGAGTATCAGGAATCCACACAAACTGGGAACTGAAACCATCAAAACCTGTATGTCTTCACCTGAACCCTAAGCCTTAAACTAACTCCATAAGCTCATCACTGAAAGAAAGGTGCAAACAATATGGCCACCCAATCATGAGACACTTTGTAAACATTACGTTGAAGCAAACCCAGAGATTAACGTAGGAAGTGCAAGCAAAAATGTTGGCCATTAGTGTCAAAATACTGTATATGGCACCAGGTAGAGCTTTACAAGTCACCATACTGCTACATCACATGGCCCAATACCAGGAGCATATAACCAAAGTCTACGATCTAGGAAAGATCATCAGGTCCTTTGTCCCTGACCTAAGTATAGTGGCCCCTTGTATAACATTAATACTGTGCTGAATTTTTAGCAATGCAACTTTCATTTAGTAACAAAACACTGAATGCACAATTAATACATAGCACATGTTCGTGGCATGCTCGCATTTCCACAAACTTGGCTCCCTCAGTACTGTACATTGGTAGTTACAGGAAGCTCTCTGCCAATTATAGTGCTGTTTTAAATCTACAGTCTATGACTAAATTTGTATGTCAATATCAATCTTTCCTCACCGTTTTTAATGAAAAACAATGTTCACTTCCCTCCCTCCCACAACATGTTCTTTTTAAACTAAGAATAAGCAGCAGTTCAATCATATCCATCACTGTCAATTCCCTCCCTCCCAGTTCTCCTACCTATCATTCATCAAAAGATGAAGATGGTGGCAGTGATTTGGTACCAAAAAGTATAACATGATGCCTACCACATTGATAATACAGTACATATGCTACATTAGTTTGCTTCATTGTACCCGCATGGTATCCCAAACAGATGAGACAGGCAGTGTTTGTGTTCATTTCTGTGTCATGCACACACATTCCTTTTATATTTACTTGAACAATGTATTTGCCAATATAGACGCCCCCAATATACACACACAATACCGTCCCGAGAGAAAGAGGAAGGGCAGAGAGGAAGTAGAATGAATGGATGAGGAAGAATTGAGACAGGGAGGGCAGAGGGAGGAGGAAGCAGGTGTTTTATTATGTAGAGTATCAAAAGTGAACTTTTCAAAGTACCAAGAACCTTCCCAATTTTTTTCCATATACTGAACCCTTTAAGTTTTGTGCAATACAAGTACTTTATTTACACGATTTTTTCATAAATACAGCCACAACACGGCTGTCTGAGAGCACAGCCCACTGCAAACCAAGAACCAAGTTTCACTGGATATAAACAAGCTGAATTTTACTGAAATCTGGCTCCAGCAAGCCAACAACACACTGGAAAACAGTCAGGAAATACACAAGGTCAGGGAACTCAGTGTCGTGCTTTCTGGTGGTCGATGTAGATGACCTGGCAGGCCAACTGGCAGTTAGCACAAAAACTCCTTTGGCAATAACCTGTGATGCCATGTGAGGGTTTAGAGGAGTGATTTTTTATAAATTGACCTGTTGGGTCACTCTCCAGTTCCTCCCTAGCACCTATTATAACTCGGCAGACGAGACTTTACAAGTCCCTGCGGCTCCAGCGCCAATATGTTATCCTGCCAGCCCACATAATCTTATGCCAAAGGAACAGTTGCTTATGATAACTCGGCAAATTAAACATTTTGCCATTGGGCGGCAATGCCCCAAATAAAAGAAACCTTAGATTAATTATTAAACCGAAGCACTATAAATTTAATTACAATGCGATTCCTCAAAACAATACATAATAACAAATAACTAGGAAGGTACATGGCTGGATAACCTGAGTAGAGCAAGTGATATATGGGGTCCTGCTCTTTCCACATTATTTTTAAAACCTTCCTTGGAAAGCATAATTTTACACAAGAATATTTGCAAATGTAAACTAATGAGATGTGTAATGTCTAAGTTAATTAAAAAATACAACAGAAGGACTTAAGCAAGCTAAATGTTTAGACTTAAAAGGGCTAATTGAGGTTAATCCCAGCAAATGTAAAGTAATAAAGTCTGAGAGAGCATTAAACTATAAGAGGGAGGGCAATTACAGAAATCAGAAAAGCAGAACCTAGGCATGAATAAACACAAAAATACAGCAACAGCAAATATAACTGGCAAACACCGAGCAGAATTTAGAAATTGTAGCATCCACTAATTCCTCCTTAACAGACCTCCAAGGAGAATTAAAACAACCTTGGCCTAATATTAGGTTGTCTGGTTAAAGCCAGCATTTCCCAATTAGGGGAGACAGGACCACCACATATACTATTCTCAAGGGAACCGATAGGATAGATTTAGACATTATTTAACATAGGTGGCACTCGCACAAGGGTACATAGGTGGAAACCGACTACCTATATGAGTCACAGACATCAGAAAGTACTTTTTCAGTGTGAGTAGTTAGCAAATGAAATGCATTAAGCAGTGATGTGATGGAGGCTGACTCTATACACAATTTCAAAAGTAAATATGATAAGAGTCCAACAAGCTGAGGAATCTGTACACCAGTCGATTGATGGTCAAAAGGGGAGACCAAAGAGCCGAAGCTCAACCCTTGCAAGCACAACTAGGTGAGCACACACACACACATGCATGCCAGTCTAGACTATACCAGCTCCAGTACACTGTTTTCATCAAACTGTCTACCTCACCTCACCCTAGCAGCTATCTTGCTAACATCACTTTTTGCCACATGGTGTAAACTTTGTGAAGTTTATTTCTTCAAAGTTTCTTCTTCTTTGAAGAAGAAATTTCTTCTGTGTCAGAAATGTGGACAGAGACAATTTGTACTACAGCAAGCATTCATTCATTTATTGTGTAACCCATACCTATCCTGCGGGCAGTAAGTTCTTACGCCCAAAACCCCACCTGCTGCCATCTGCCTCCAACTATACAGACTTCCAAGAACTTCTTGCAATATTTTGGGCCATTATTCAAAGACATCAGCTTACTTCTCCTAATAAATATCAAACAGACCACACTTTCCCTTTCTTCACATCCATAAACCCACACACCTAAACATAGAATCATTCATTATACACATTTATTGTACACAGCCTGTCAGGCCAGTTCCAGAAGATGTACCACCACCACAAAATTCCTTCCTTGTTAAACACAAGAAAAAATGAGAAAATCCAGAGAATTCACTACAAGACAGTTAACATAAACGAGTTGAGCAGAGGTCAGGTTATGAGAATTCAGTCTACTGGCACTTAAAGTACAAAAGAAGAAGGTCAATATAACTGTATAAGATACTGGAGGTGAACTGATGAAGTAGGCAAAAATAATCTAGATGAAGAAATATAATATGATATGGCACATGTAAATTTTGAAATGAAAATCAGAGTCATCAAATCAAAGAAACAAGATGCATCGTGAAAATTTAAGCTGGGAAATCTTCTTCCAATTACAGCTAAAACACAATGAAATTAATAACTGTGATTAAGTAAACAAGATAAAATAACCTACTTGGGCTGCAACCATGTTTTGGACAGGTGTTGATACTCTGGAAGAATGTCCACTTGCCTCACCATTGACCGAGTCAGGCCCTCCATCACCGCCACCCCCACCGTCACTATTCTGACCACACACGGACATGTGCTGGGGCCAATGTGATTGCTACCATGGAAAGAGCAGATAAAACAAAAATTACTTCTCTCTTTTACAATAACTGATAATGAATTCATTTGATTTATAGTGGCAAGTGCAGATAGATACTGTAATCTATATCATAAAGAATGTGTGTATGTTTGTCTGTCCAAGTCTGGAGGCCAGATGCTTGAGGCTAGTCTCGCCCAACCTTCCAGGGCAACTGATGTAATCTAAATGGGTCAATCACCGTCAACACAAATGCGCCAATTTAAAAGTGACCAATTCCTATAACAACCCCCATGCAATCAGTGGAAGGTGGCTAGGCAAGTCCCTAGAATTTCTTATGAAGATCTAGCTTAAAATGCTCTTCTGTAATTTTGTTTCATCAGGTACAGGAAACCTGTGTATAAACTGTATATACTTTGGGCTTGTATCAAGGTTCCCCAAGGTTGAATTACTCTCTCTTCCAAGGTTGCAAATGCACAACAGGTGCCTAACTCCTGGATACCTATTTACTGCTAGGTAAACACAAGCATTAGGTGAAAGGAAACATGCCCAACCATTTCAGTCCCAACCAGGAATTGAACCCTGGGAACCCCGACTGGGAGTCGAGAATGAAGCCTCAACGAGACCCTGTAATATATAGTATATATACAGTACAGTATACTGTATATAGAAGAGCAATACAAAGCTAAGTATTGCTTTGAGGCCGGGCTTGGGGAGTAGAACAACTCTCAGAACCCCATCAAGCAGGTAATACATGTCATATGGTATTGAGGAACAGTTAGCTTTGTTCTCGACACCCAATCTGAGATCCCAGGTTTAATTCCCAGGCAGGACAGAAATAGGGCACATTTCCTTCACTTAATGCATGTGTTCACCTAGCAGTAAATAGGTACCTTGGAGTTAGACAACAGTTGTGGAGCTGGATCCTGGGAAGGGTCAACAGTTTAACCTGGGGGGCAGGGAGGAGGAGGAGAACTTCAATACAAGCCTAAAGTATAAATATACACAGGCTTCCTGTCCTATGACCAAATAAATTATTAATATAGGAAGGCCAGGGATGTTAGTCAATATAGCACAACATTTTGGTACCCGGGTTGACCTTGGCTCCCAGACACTTAACTGGTGCAACCTTTTGGGGTTGACCAGGTCTCCAATGGGTACCCCAACTAGTAGGATACCGTATATACAGTACTGTAGCTTCCACTTTTAAAATGATTACTTATGTAGCATTTTTATTATCACCTTAATATTTAAGAGTGCAATCAAATTATGGCCTATTGCAAATATTCAATGAAAAGATACCATACATAACATACAATGCACACATACATATGGAACAAAAGGAAGGGGTCCCAGTAAGCTGATCAGTCACATTTACAAGCTGGGAACTCTTAATTCCCAAGTAGCTTGTACAAAGTACTGTACATTTATTTGGGGATTCTCCGTGTGCTGCAACATTACCTAGAGTGGTTACAGTTTATTACAGGAAATGCCCAAGGTGATAAATTATGATACATAATATTTCTAGGTGTTTTAACTGTCTTCTCTAGTAGCCTATTCCAACCATAAACACACATGATGAATTAGTCAAGCTCCACTTATCCAGAACTAATTTACCCAGAAGTTCTGAATAGCTAAAGAAAACCCAATCTCCAGATACATTGATTTGGAATAATAATGCCTGAAAAGATATTTGATATCTTTCAGATAAAAGCTAATATTTTTAGAACACTCCATCTAAATCACCATTTCTCAACCAGGGTTCCGTGGAACCCCATGGTAACTAGGGGGTTCCACAAGAGATATTGACAAATAGCATAATTTTAGTCATATGTAAATTTATGTACCCAGCTCACCAGGGTCCCCGCCTGTTCATGGCTCACCAGGAATGCCATCCGTACTTGGCTCACCTGGGATGCTACTTGGAGCACGAGTCCAAAAGGAATGATCAAGAGTTCCAGCCCATTTAAATAAAGAAGCCTCAGATTTCAGAAGGAACATCTGGTTCAACAGCCAAAAGGATACCCTTAGTATCACGCAGGATCTGCTACACTACCTTGTCAGGAAAAGAGCAAGGTGGGAGGGTGCAATAGCAAAACAATCCAGAAGAACTCCTGGATCAACTCAACACTGCATGCCTGCAAGCGATACATGCAGTGAAAGAGACACACAGCATACTAAAGAATCACTATGGCATGGGCAAAGCAGACCATGCCGACTAAGAATTCTTGGCATGCAAAGGTTTTAAATGCATTTGCCAGGCGAGAGTGCACCTTTAAGTCTTCACCCGAGACACTGCACTTAAGGGAAAACCTGAATGTACAGATGCCTGAAGACCACAAAAACAAGAACAGTGATACAGAGAATACAATTTTATGAAATCAAAGTACTGAGGGGGTGCTCTAGGGACCAGTTGCTAAGTCCTGCTGTGGAGAGAAATCCATTCCCTAGCCACTGCTTGGGAACAACTACTTTAGCATAGGAGCCACAGATTTGCACTGGAGAGGAAGAAAGCACTTTCCTTGTATACTATATCAAAACAGCAGTAAAAGTTTCAGAAGATGACTAGTGCCCCAAAACATTCCACCATGAGACACAAGAGCAGAGAACCCACCCTACATGTTATCTTCAGCCCTCACCTGCAATGAGCAAGGGCAATGTGATTAGGGCCAACAGCCAGCTATGATGGTTGGCAAGACGAACAATTGCCAGCTGAAGCATCAGCAAACTCTGATTTAAAGCAGGATCTGAGGAGACATCCAATTCTGAAGACTGCTTGTACGAAGTAGATGGCGTCAATCCTCCTCCAAAAAGGGGGGTTTGGCGGTTGTGACAAAAACAGATTATCGAGACTATACTTCAGACAAAGTTAAAGCCCATAAACGAAAGACTGATTGAACTCAAGGAAGGCTTGTTTTATCTTGAATTCCAAGATAATGATCCAAGGCAGAGAACTCTGTTTTTAATCGGTCATTAGTCTGTGAATAATTAAACAACTTCAAAACTATTGAAGTTAGAATGCTGAAAATTTACATGGGCAGTTTTTTCATCTGATGTCCCGGTTCACTTAGCAATAAGTAGGGTGATGTTTGTAACTGAGGCTACTGGTATTGTTCATTGGAATAAGTGCATGTGTACAAATTTTGGAGCAGCCACTATTATTCATTTTTAGGATATTATCCTAAATGTCATCCCCCCCCCCCATATCCTTGCATTTACAATAGTTCTATATCTGTCCCTCGGGGGCTAATGGACCAATAACATCAGGGATATTCCTTGCACTACCACAACCAGGTCTAGAAATTTTCAAGCCGATATGTGACGGCATTCCCCAGACATCACATACAATACAAAAACAAAAAATTAATTAATTTAAAAATAAGGTACTGTATTCTTTTGGAATATATCTAAAAATCAATATAAACCATGATAAATTACTATAATGTATATCTAATAACAACTGCGTCCTCTATATCTGATGAAACTTCACAACTCTTACCTGACAAGGATAGTCACAATATGAGGTGTTCCAACAACAGAAAAATAATGCTTCCTTGCCACAGTTAGCACACCACTGTTTTTTCTTTGTTTCTTCAACAGCTCTCTGTTTCTCTGCCTCCAACTGTCTCCGCACTTCCGCCAGCCGTTCCACCATCTGCCGTTCCATTTGTCTTCGGCCCTCCATCATCTGTTGTTCCATTTGACGTTTCACGTCATCTACAGCTCGTTGCTTCTCTGCTTCCAGGTTGGCTCTCATTTCCACCAGCATCACGTCTGCATTATGGCGTACCTCGGCCAATTCTTGCTGATGCCGCCAATTAGTACGCTCCAATTCAAGTTGAAGTGCAGCCACTCGTGCTTCAGGGGTACCTGTCATGACAAGCCCACCTAGAACATCCTCTAAAGTGGCCCGCATGACTTCTGCCAACTTTTGTGAGTGCTTATGAAGTTGGGCTGACAATGGACCAGCTTCTGGAGGCAGATGTCTAGTTGGCGGACCACCCGGCATACGTGATTGCACCATCATGCCAGGTGCTCCTCCACCCATCATTCTCATGCCAGGCGTCGTCATGATGGGACCACGAGCACTCCCCATTCCCATGACTTGGCTACCTGGAGGTGGTGGCCCAAAGACACCTCTGGAGCCCATGCCACTTGCTGCAGGAGCTTGAGGATGAGAAAGAGGTGGTGGTGGGGGGATGCCACCGACACCCGTTTGAGGAGAGCTACTTGATGACGACGACGAAACTCTTGGAGGTGCAGCCTGAGTAGCTGATGGTGAACACTGAGGAGGATTTTGTGCTATGACTGATGGAGAACTTCTCGGTGCATGTGATGAGACGGATGGTGACGTACGACTAGGACTCGGAGACGAGGATGGAGCAATAGTAGTTTTAGTTCTATGGCGGTCACTTCCCCCTGACATTGGAATGATAGATATTGATGGACTGAGACGTGTGGTATCCACACCAGAGGGCATTTTCACTTTTTCCTTTTCTTTTTCCTTTTCCTTATCTCTATCCCTATCCCTATCCCTATCCACTGCTTTTGTTACACTTACACTACACCCTAAGGAAGATATATGCTGCTCCATGTCTTTACTTTCCGATACTTTTTGACTTGGAGACACTCTCTGCAAACTAGGGCTAGTCCGGTTGGAATCATCATTTCCATCCTTCCTATCCTCATTTCCATCCTTCCTATCCTCAGATTTGTGTTGGTCTTTAGCCAGTGATATCGTTACACCATTGTTGTTACTACCATGATCTAGACTCTTTCCATCCAGTCTCGTTATTGCTATCGTCCCCATAGTTTTCATCAACTGAACAGCATCAAAGAGAGATGTTCTATTGCTTTCCTCCTTGTCCTCATCATGGTTAGTGTCGTCACTCACTCTCTTCCTTTTTCTGTCAGTTTCCTCACCACTCAAAACTTCTTCTTTAACCCTATCATTTACACTATTGCGCACTCCACGGTTTGTCTCGAGCGTTTTACTCTCTGTGTCCATCTGTTCCTCCTCCTCGTCACTTACCCGCTCCTTCACAATGCTTCTCATGTCACTCCCATCCCCTTCTTTATCAGGTACACTGTCTCCCGCCACCTTACTGTCACTACCAGTACAACCTATTCCCTCTTCACTACCATTTTTGTAAGCACTGCTGGTATTTCTATTTAAATGTTCCTCTTCAGAGTCACTTTCCTCATCGCCACACACTGTTCTATTTCTGCGTTTTATATTGGGGTTTTTATCATTTTCATCTCCACTCTTTTCACTTTCATCATCACTTTCATCTACATTCATTTTCTTACCACTAAACTTATTATTGCTTTCATTTTCACTTTTATCAGACTCGCTTTCGCTTTCCATTCTATCTGTCAATTTTGTTTTATGTTCCGTCTCTTCTTCATTGTCACTGTCTTCACTTTCACTTAATTCTTTCTTGCACTCTCTTTCTAAAGCTTCAAGAACACCCGCTTTGACCCCACCCAATTCTAATGCATCATCATTACTTTCTGTGTCATCTTTATCATCGATATTACTTTCCACCTCATCTTTATCATCGATATTACTTTCTACCTCATCTTTATCATCGATATTACTTTCTACCTCATCTTTATCATCGATATTACTTTCTACCTCATCTTTATCATCAATATTACTTTCTACCTCATCTTTATCATCGATATTACTTTCCACCTCATCTTTATCATCGATATTACTTTCTACTTCATCTTTATCATCGATATTACTTTCTACCTCATCTTTATCATCGATATTACTTTCCACCTCATCTTTATCATCGATATTACTTTCTACTTCATCTTTATCATCGATATTACTTTCTACCTCATCTTTATCATCGATATTACTTTCTACCTCATCTTTATCATCGATATTACTTTCGACTTCATCTTTATCATCGATATTACTTTCGACTTCATCCTCTTCATCAATATTACTTTCTAAATAACTTTTATCATCCATATTATTTCCTACATTTTTATCATCGATATTACTTTCTAAATCATTTTTATTCTCAGTTTTTGTTCTTAACTTATCTCCAAGTGATTCAACATTTTCTTTGATACTTTTATTTGCATTTACAGTTTCACCATTATTCTTAATTTTAGCATCTGTATTAGTATCTGTTCTTTTAATATTATCTTTTCCACTCTCCGTCATTACACTATCCGAGTCATCATTCACTTTCCTTTCTCTACATGCATTTTCAACGTGTGTGTCCAGTGGATTTAAAACGTCTTCACTTTTCAACACCAGTTCGGAAGTCATTTTCACCGGCACTTTCTCATCCTCTCCCAAACTTTGGCTTTCACTTGCAAGTTCTCTGACATTCTTACAAGTATCAAATTTGGTGTCCGCCTCACTGTCTAGCGTGTCGTCCTCATCGTGCATCTCTCCCCCCTCCGTACTCTGAGCATGATTACCTAGCTGCTGCACTCTTGCCCTACTGTCATTATCTCTTGTATCCCTGGCCCTGTCACCACCCTCATCGCCACTTTGCTCTTGGCTCTCCACTTCATCAATACTACCGTCTTTCTCCCTATTCGCTGCAAATCTTTTTCTGTTACTGGGATATTCATCGGTGTAATTCTCATCGTCGTCGTCATCGTCACTTTGGTCATTCATTGTATGAGGATGAAGAGACTTTCCATTCATGATGGACGAGTTGTCATCGTCGGAATTCTCGTCGTCGTAATTCCCACCAGGATATTTATCACAATTCTCCATGTCCTCGTCAGATTCATCATCGCCAATTTTAGGCGAAATTTTCAAATTTAATTTTGAATCATCCTCATCTGAATCTTTCTCTCTCTCATGCTTAGCTTCTCTCTTTACGTGCTGCTCTATGTTTTGTGAATGGGGACGACCTTCCACCACCTCCCCATCCTCTAGTTTCGGCAAACGAGTGTTTTCCATATGGTCGTTGTCTCCATGAACAGAAGTACGACTTGCAATCTCGGCCTCTGTCTCTGTTCCCTGGGTTGCAGATGAGGTTCCAGACTCCCTCTTACGTCGCCTCAATGATGCCCCACTATCAGTTGAGGCAATCGAGGATGTCTCGTCATCTGGAAAACGACACTTCAATAACTTCATATCCAACATAAAATACTTTTATAAATTTCCTAATGAAACACATTAAACAATACATTAAACAAGGCTTTTGCATTTAATGAGGCATATTGTTTATTGCCTAGTACTCGGACAAGCAAATTCAATAAAACTCCTGACCACTATACTAGTACCAAGAGGCAAGACTATCCACTACCCAGCATCCATAGTGAGCGAGCGAGCTTGCTTGCTTGCGCTCTCTCTCATCTCTCTCTCACATCTCTCCCCTTTCTCACATCCTTCTCTCTCACTCTCTCATCTCATCTCTCGCTTTCTCTCTCATCTCTCGCTTTCTCTCTCATCTCTCGCTTTCTCTCTCATCTCTCGCTTTCTCTCTCATCTCTCGCTTTCTCTCTCATCTCTCGCTTTCTCTCTCATCTCTCGCTTTCTCTCTCATCTCTCGCTTTCTCTCTCATCTCTCGCTTTCTCTCTCATCTCTCGCTTTCTCTCTCATCTCTCGCTTTCTCTCTCATCTCTCGCTTTCTCTCTCATCTCTCGCTTTCTCTCTCATCTCTCGCTTTCTCTCTCATCTCTCGCTTTCTCTCTCATCTCTCGCTTTCTCTCGCTTTCTCTCTCATCTCTCGCTTTCTCTCTCATCTCTCGCTTTCTCTCTCATCTCTCGCTTTCTCTCTCATCTCTCGCTTTCTCTCTCATCTCTCTCTCTCTCTCTCTCTCATCTCGCGCTTTCTCTCTCATCTCTCGCTTTCTCTCTCATCACTCGCTTTCTCTCTCATCCCTCGCTTTCTCTCTCATCTCTCTCGCTTTCTCTCTCATCCCTCGCTTTCTCTCTCTCCCTCGCTTTCTCTTCATCTCTCTCATCTCATCTCTCGCTTTCTCTCTCATCATCCTCGCTCTCTCTCTCTCTCTCTCTCTCTCTCTCTCTCTCTCTCTCTCTCTCTCTCTCTCTCTCTCTCTCATCTCTCTCTCTCTCTCTCTCTCTCTCTCTCTATGTATATATAAATGTATATTTGTCTGCAGCATAAGCATTACAACATTACGAACTTTCATCAGGCAATTAAAAATTAATAATAGCAATAAATTCATGACTTTAGCTTATAAACTGCTCCAATGGCCCTCAAGTGATTGGGTTGCATATGCAAGTTGCATGGATGTGATTTGTGCCACCCACATAATATTTTAATGTCCAACTCTGATTTTATAAAAAAAATCATTTGACAAAGAACTTTTTGGTAATTGTTTATAATATTGGAAAACAAAAATCCTGAACTGCTTAGTTTCCTTCCCGGGCCTTACTATAATGATGGGCACAGAATCTGGCACTTCGTTTGTGCAGAAGATTGGTGATAATCATGACTTGCTGCCGAGTCTGTGTTAAACGTAAAACCTGCCTTTGAAGTGCAGTGTCCAGAACCCAGCTGTGCACTTTATTACATAAGTGCTGTGTTGCTTGCCTAATGTTTCAAGCTGCCATCATTGTTTATTGTTCTGTGTCGCGTCCTGCCAGCTGTGTCTCGCATGTTTGCCTGCTGTGATGATTGTCGTCGCCATCTTGCTACATTAACGTGTAACCTTGCACGTTTTTACCATGTGGTCAAGTGCGTGAGGTGAAAACCTGAGGAGACCACCACCCATACATTCAGCGAGTCCTGACTGTACGGGTGGTGGTCTACGACACAGCAAGGGGGCTACGCCTTGCTGTGCCAGCGGATTCTGGGAGGTCAGCATCCCAGCTGTTAGATGGTATAAATGGGATGGAATGAATGAAGGCCGGCTGCAATTGAGCAAGTACATTATTTCTACCAGTTCTTAAGTGTTGTCTTGTATTGATCTCCGTGACCTCCCATCCACTCAAGTATATTTCCATGTACACCCTGACCCAGGCAGCAAGTAAAACGATCGAGGTAACCCACCATTTGTCAAACCATCAGCCTGTGTGGTAACGTTTTGCCACTTGTTAAGGTGTATGAGGATTAATCGAATACCATACACATCTAGGGTCCAGGTGACCTGTCTAATTTATAGCTAACATCTGTCTCGGTGACTGATAATTTCGGTGACCATTGGAGTCTGTGGCTTGTAAATGCATTGATTTAATACTTGTCTCAGTGATGTGTGTGTAATTCAATGGCTTATTATAGTCACAGTGAGTTGTATTAATTCCATTATCTATTATTGTCTCAGTGACTATTTCAAGAATTGTGTTTGTCTTTGTCACGTGCAAGTACTGTAGCTATAGTTCATATTTTTAGCATTAAATGTTCACAAGAAACCAATTCTCAATTTGCTCTAAAAGATCCATCTACCGCACATGGAAGCATTCATACCAACACAGCCTAGAATACAAAACCCTAGGTGCATACCTGAGTGGCCGGATAATCTGGAGAGTGCCCTAGACTGAGAGCGTACTCTAAGCGCTATAGGACCTTTGTAGTTAGGAAGCATAATCTTTATTTGATCTGGATCCGTGGGGTTGAACTGAACACGATGAGGTGCATACTTAAACCTGCCGAATCTTTCTCTCAGCTTTACTATGTGTTCGTTGACCTGTAAAAGACACTATTATTAGTAGTATAACATACAAGAGTGCCTTCATAATGCATTATATAGTCTACAGCAGCAATTCTCACCCAGGGGAAGAATTTAAGCGTTCCAGGAGTGGAATTGGGGCCACAGACTCAAACTGTTGGAATATCAATCTTCAGACAAACTACAATTTTACATATTGAACACTTCCCACAGGGCTTCACACCTTAATGTATGTCACAGATTAAAGCAAAAATATATCAATATTTCACTCTTTATCTGTGGAAATATTCCATTTATATATGACTTTACTTGTTTTTTATTCACATTATATTCACAGAAGCCATTATGAATGTCAAAAAATGGAGAGTACAATGATTTATATACTGAATATAGATTCACATTCACCATCAGTGGTGAAGACCTCAATGTTTAATTTGTAGCACAGTTTTATCAAATGATTTTATGAAACCAACAGAGTTGAATATTCAACCTCAGCACAAGGCCAGGGACAAAAGCTTTTTTGATCAAGGGAATGTTTTAAGAAAGATGAAGCCGGACTCAACAGGGGCATTTCAAGAAATGAACCACATGGTTACTGAAGCTTCTTGTGTGGTAGCACAGGAAATAGCAAAGCAGAAAAACAACGTATAATTTGGGAACCTTGGATCAAACCTTGTGCTCTCAAAATAGTGAAATTGTTTGGAAATAGAGTGGAAAAAAAATCTTGCAGCAGTTCCACCATCAAATAGTACTGTTCAAAGGTAAATCAGCAACATGGTCACTGACATCAAGGTTCTGTAAAACTTCAGCTTTAGCTAAAAGCTAGCTGAAGCCATTCAATCATAATGGGTATATGGGAACAAATAAAGTGTTACATATCATAGACCTTCAAAACTAAACTCCTCAATAAAGTAACCATTTTATCCAATCAGCTCAGATATCTCCACCTATATATTCCATCCTGAGATAACATGCAACTACCTTTACCTATATCCACTTAACACACATGCATCCTGTTAATTCTTCAAGCTCAATTTTTTCCTTACTTGCCTCAAGTGTAGTCCATTAGCACCAGAGTGGCCCCGGGTGAAACACTCAAGACATTTCCTCATGCCTGATGCCTGTGTTAGTCATGCAGTATAGCTGGCCAAAATTGGAAACCAACTACTTGCTATCTTCTACATACACACATGCCCCCCCCCCTCCCGCACACAGCCACTATAGCATACACACGTGGGAACTTTTAATAATAATCACCTTCACATTAAACGACTAATTCTTAGCAGGCAATGACAACTTTATTTGCAGCAATTGTAGCCAGGTAAATGCCAGTAGTAGTCAGAATGAAATAAAAAAAAAAAACTGACAAGTTCATTTTTTAATATTCCTGGTAAGAAATTCAGTTAATTTGAATGGAGGCGGGCCCAACATGAATCAGATTACCAAGGTGGTATATGGATCAAAAAGATCATGTAGATAAATGGAAATAAAGACAGCAATGCTATAAGCAAAATGAAGAAATCAAGTCATCCAAAAGTCTTGAGAAGGTGGAAGAAAATTTACATGCCATAGACCAAGGGGATCTAATGGTTTAAACATACCATAAACAAAGGGATCTAATGGTTTAAACATTAATATAACTTACAATATAAATTCTTACCTTCCTCTCTCTCTAGGTCTACTTACTCACCTAACAATGTTTATTGTTCTAATTAGTCTGACAACCCCCCCCCCTCTCATTTTCAAGCACAACTACGAATGCTAACTAATCATTCCGATCACTTTCACAATGCTTCATCCCCCCCCACCATTCGCATTATTTCAAATATTTTTGGTTTAATCATACACACTGTTGACTAAAAAATACAGATGCAAAATAGTTACCTCTTGAAGACACGATTCTAAAGTTTTATTGCGATTTTTAAGAGGTGTTGGCATTTGCTCGGAGAAGAGAAAACATTCCTTAATGGGAACCCAAGATCTGCAAAGAGAAGCGGCAATTACAAAAATGTTGCTATCGGCATTCTTTACAAGTGTCTGCTCACTAACATTTGTATACAATAAGATAATACCATGGTACCAAATTGGCCAAAGTATACAACTTTGAGAAAAGTACACAAAAATACAAATTGCTAAAGAAAAAATCGCCAAACACAGTTCTTGAAAGATGGAAGTGTAAAGGGGGCTAGGAAAAATATTAGGAGGAATTCCATTCTGTATGATGGCTAATGAATAATAATAATAAAAATAATACAACATAAATAATTACAATAATGCAAGTGAACGATCATTGCGGTGGCAAATGGCACGCTGTAGTATGTAACTATTGATTAGCATGAAGAAGGTAACCTAGCCCCTCGCCACACCATCCTTCATGACAATCACAACAATGAAACAAACCAAACACCTCCCATATAGAGGTTAATTTACTGTACTCCAAGTGAATCACACGGTCATGAGCAAACCTCTACCAGTCAATCCCCAAATAACACCTAAGAATATTTACCAAAACAATACCACAAAAATTATGTATAATGACTTCTTAAATTATAACACTAAGTTATAATGTATTATATTAGCAAGACTAGCCAATGCACTTACAAAAATCCCCCAATTCATAAGTGGAACGAAGATACAGTATTTAAAAAACCTAACATCAATGGTTCCTTTGTACCCTTAAACACCCACAAATTTAGAAAATAGGAAAAGTTAGATTGGGTGGATGGAAACTGAAGACACTGATAACAAAAAACGTATGATTTCATATAATATCATTCACTTTAATTACTATACAGTATAATGTACAATACTCTCAGTTTAAATAACAGCAAAATTGAAAAAAAAATTCAACAAAATTGAGTTTTTCAGATACATTATCATAATTCAATAAGCCACTCCTACCCTCCAACCCACAATCAGCAGACCTTAGGTACCAAGTCTTCTGCAACCATTCCAATTCTTATACTGAAAATTGTCAACTACTTTATAATCTAGCTCCTTTACTCAAGTCATTCAGTTGTCCATCAGCCACTTTCTCACTACATCCAATCTAGATTTCTTCCATCTCCTGCCAGACAATTTCACCATGCCCAATGCAACTTTAATTTCTAGTAGCAATATTACTCATCACAGCTTCCACAACAATAATTTTTCTTTTAAATGCACCTACACTTTCGGTGTTCAGACTCAAATGACATGTTATCAAATCTGAATGTACAAATGCAACAGCTTACCAAGAACTTGTGCAAATTCAAGGAATATGTACCTACAAAGATTTGTTGCGTTATTAATATATCCTTGAAAAGTTATAACATGAGCCATCTTACTTTGTATGAGTTACTTTGCCTTAGCATCACCATAAACTTCTTTATGGTGCTATTAGTTATATGTAAGGTGCTATAAGTATATACATGGTTAATTTAATCACTTTTGTATTACCCCATTAGATTATCACTTAATATAATCCTGTATTTATATTAAGAAAATAAAAATATACCAAAGGTTTACATTATATTATTCTAGCTAAGGACTCGTAACGGGTTCTGCAGCACAGTGGTCTAAGTCCTCAACTCGTAACTGAAGCACCCAGGTTCGATCCCCGAGCTGGACAGAAATGATTTAACAGGTTTCCTTTTACCCGATGGCTTTGTCCACCAAGCATAAAATAGGTACCCGGGAGTTGGGCAACTCTTGTAGGATGCATCCTGGATAAGGTCAGTAGTTGGTCTACAGAGACCTCGTTAAGTCATAGGTTTCCTGTCCCTGACAACAGGAATTATAACTCTCCTGTATATTGGACAGTATGTACCTGACTCGTGTATGTCTGTACTTTAAGAATCTTATGAAGCCTACTATGGTATTCATATTTCAAAAACTTCATTCATGTATCTGCTGGGAAATTAAGTTGAGAAAGCAATTCCAATTGTTCACTTTGCCTCTTACATATTTAAATATTTACAATAGTTGATAATCCCGCACCTAAACCAATTTTTGTAATCAAATACCTTTCCTTAGCACAACTTTCCTATCTCACATCAAAATTAAAAGTCAACACTTTCTTCAATGAAACATTACCTGTCGTGTCTTCCGAAAAATCTGACATCTACATTCCCGTCTCTCCACTTAACAGCTTTTGCTGGCCAAAAAGGAAAGCCTTTCAATCTTGCCCATATAAGTGGGTGAGCCGATCTCTGTAAAGAAAAAATACATAAAATGTAGCTAATACATCATTAATTGTAAATACAAATACTTAAGTTTCTGCAATATACCAAGGTGGATTGGAACCTTCATATCAACTTTTCATAGTTTCTTCATATCAACTTGCTGGTCACAAGCTGTGACAGTGAGGCAAGGTAATCATCACAAAGTGCTAAGCCAGTACGCCTATATAGCACTTGGAAAAGATATCAGGATAAGGATTTAGTTCAGGACAGAGGAAAAGAATGGTGCCCAACTACTTGGAGTTGGGAATTAAACGGCAACTACAAGAAATAAGATTGTCACTCTACCGTTCAGTCCAAGTGGTTGGGATGTGTGGCAGCATTTGTAAACACACAACAGGTAAAGTAATTACATTCTGAAGTGATAGCCCTTAAAAATATATTATTTTGAAAATAATATTAAATATTTAATATTATTTTGAAAATAATATATTTATAAGGGCTATCACTTGAGAATTTAAATACTCAAGCAACACTCAACACTTTTGCACTTTGGGTGAACGAGCATTTCTCCTACCCTAGTGGTTTTGGACGTTCCGCAGGAGCTCGCAGTAATACTGAAAAGTGTATACTCTTTTCAACTTTGTCACCTTAATTCTCATCCCATTTTTTTTAATTTGTTATCAATGTGTTCGCAATAGAATTCTCTACACGATTAAATGCGTATGAAGTCCGAAAGCCCAGCTTACCATCCGCAGCAAACAGAGAAAGTGAGAAAAAGTTACCCAGGAGCGAGCAAGAGCGATAAAATGTGTACACTCTTCTCACCTTGGTCTCCTCAATTTTCGTCCTAGGTTTTTCATTTTGGTATCAATATGTTCACAATAAAATTCCCAACAGGAGTATATGCATATAAGTAATGTCAAAAACCGTGGTGCGCTCCACCTGCCAACATGATGAAAGCAGGGTGGAGCGTCGGGCCGTCCGTTAGAGAGCATGGTAATACTGAAAAGTGTATACTCTTTTCAACTTTGTCATCTCAATTCTTATTCTAGGTTTTCCAATTTGATATCAATGTGTTCGCAATAGAATTCTCTACACGATTAAATGTATATGAAGTCCGAAAGCCTGGAATACCACCATAACAAAACAGAGAAAGTGAGAGCAATGCAGATGTGTACACTTGAGCAATGAAATGTGTACACTTTTCACTTTGGTCACCTCAATTCTTGTCTTAGGTCTTTCATTTTTGTATCATTGTGTTCGCAATAGAATTCCCTACAGGAGTATATGCATATATAAAGTTCAAAAGCACGGCGTACCATCCACAGAAAACAGAGAAAGTGACAGCGCGTTACCCCAGTGAGCACTAATAAAGCAATAAAATGGGTTTGCTCTTTTCAACTTTGTTACCTCAATTCCGGTCCTAGGTCTTTCATTTTGGTATCAATGGATTCGCAGTGAAATTCCATACAGGAATATATGCATAAAATGTCCAAAACCATGGCTTGCCCCTCCTGAAGCTGCCGCCAATTTGCCGCCTGCCAATTACTGGCGAGGACTCGATGCCGAGTCCTTACTGGACCTCCCTCTATTTAACTGAGGACTCAATGCTGAGTTCTCACCGAGCAAAAGTGGTCTTAATTAATTAAAGGGATTTTTTAATACTGATAATATCAATTTGTGAAATGCTGAGCTGAGGAAATAAAACACTAGAGTACAACACACAACATGTGATGCTACAGCCTACATGTTTTACTCGTCAAGAAAATTGGTCGGATGCATCAAACATATACAACAGTCCCCAAATATTGTACAGAGGGGAAGGGGGGACTGCCACCACAGGGGGAGAGGGGGGGGGGACTGCCACCACAGGGGGGGGAGGGAGGGGACTCCCACCATAGGGGGAGAGGGAGGGGACTCCCACCCACCACCACAGGGGGGAGGGGGGGACTCCCACCATAAGGGGAGAGGGGGGGACTCCCACCACAGGGGGAGAGGGGGGACTGCCACCACAGGGGAGAGGGGGGGACTGCCATCACAGGGGTGCATGATATTCTTACAATTGCCACCACAGGGGGGAAACTGCCACCACAGTGGGAGAGGGAGGGACTGCCACCGCAGGGGGAGAGGGAGGGACTGTCACCCGCAGGGAGAGAGGGAGGGACTGTCACCCGCAGGGGAAGAGGGAGGAACTGTCACCGCAGGGGGAGAGGGAGGGACTGTCACCGCAGGGGGAGAGGGAGGGACTGTCACCGCAGGGGGAGAGGGAGGAACTGCCACCAGGGGAAGTTACTGTCACAATAATAAGGAAACTCAAGTTTAGGGAATACTGACACCAGAGAAAAACATTCAAAGGTGCCACAGCATAGCACACAGCACAGCTATGTTGTATCTTAAGTTACAATGAATTATCAAGCAGAAACAATAAGCTTACCAGAAAAGTTAACTTTCAATAATGCAGACATTACATATTTGTGTAGATATATGCTCCTCATGGTTAAAGAACATGTACATAATACAAATATTCTTAAATTACACTCAAAACACTGGCCCGACGGCCACCACCATTTACAACTGGAAGGTGATGCTCTTTATAGGAGCACAAGATACCCTTTGCCCATATGCTACAGCTTGGAGACCTAAGGATGCTATACCACCGACAAATAAAAAGTGCATCTACTGTATTTCCTCATGTTGCCATGGTGATTAGTCTCTTCAGTGGTAACAACACCTAAAGGAATAGAGGTTGTGCAGTTGTGTGCAAGGCTCGTTGTGCAATTATGTTCATCCTAACAGAGCACATGCAAGTGGCGCTAAGCATGAGAGTAAGGGTGAAGAAATGTCAATGCTTGTGGCCGACACTATTGTTACTCTGTACGGGTATGTGGCCTCATTGTGGGACTGGCATACCTCCGTTCTACATCCAACCGACTGATGACTTGCTCTTGGAAATGACTAGTTGCAGTAGCACTGACGAAGTCAGTACAGATTCTGAAATTTTCCAGAAATTCTTTGACAGTTATTTATTTTTGTAGTGGGAAAAATTGCGTAGGTTTAATGACAAAACTCATTCAGGCAACATGCTAAAGATAGGATTAAACAAAATACAAATTTAAAAACTTCGGAGCCTCCACTAAGAACGAAAAAAATAAAATAGTAAACAGTTGATTGACAGTTGAGAGGCGGGCCGAAAGAGCAGAGCTCAACCCCTGCAAGCACAACTAGGGGAATACAACTAGGTGAATACCACAATACAATCTTAAAGTGTTTAGCATTTCTTGGTTAGTCCAGGTTTGAAAGATATGTCATCGTAAAAGACGGAGCGTTATTTCGACTAACTAATCAATTTTGAAAGCGAAAACCCAAAGACTATCCATCTGCAATTGTATAGGTGAGCTACACGTGTCTAAAGAATCTCTCTCTGGCACATGTTATTGGAGCAACTGGACTCATTTTGACCACCTATATTTGTCATGCATTTTAGGCTAGTCAACAAGGCTCTGTGTTCAGATAGGCAGGTTTTCCCCTGTATCTTTGCAGGCATTTGTAATAAATATCACAATATTAACATATTTGAACGATTACTTAAATTATTTACATTGATAAAAATTTAGTTTATTTAGTTAGCAAGAACTGAAGAATAATTGGCCTATTTTTGTAAGATGTGGTAGATACATTAGTCTTGGTTCAAAATGTACAAAATTAATATAAATGGTAAATTGAATTTATCTATTAATACATAAATTTGCAAAAAAATAAAAAAATTCAGCTTATATTACAAGTCTGCCTAAAATGGCTCAATTGAACTGGAATAAGTGTGTAGGTATACTCATACACACATATGTACATCCATTTGTTTTCTTGTGCCCCTCATGCATCCATGCACATTCATGTATATACATGCATGTCCATGTATGTGTACACATGCATATGCAGGAGCAAAATTTTGAGTCTATTGAAGGATCACAACTTCAAATGCCTAAAACAAAATTAAACAGTCTCGAGTGCCAAGCCTGGCATGTGTAAAGTGCCAAGATATGTGGGTGCCAAGATATGCGAGTGCTGAGATATGCGAGTCCCAAGATATGTGGGAGCCAATTGTGAAGCAAATTAACACTTCTGCGCTTTGGGCGAGCGAGCAGCAGACCACCCGAAGGTGGCCCGGGCATTCCATGGGAGCGGGTGGTTTTCACTCTTTTTACAATTTTTGTCATGTCAGTTCTCATCCTAGGTTTTTCATTTTGGTATCATTGTGTTCGCAATAGAATTCCCTACAGGAGTATATGCATAGAAGGTCCAGAAGCCCGGCGTACCACCCACACCAAACTGTGAAATTGGCAGCGTGTTACCCGTGAACACCCTAGAGCAATAAAATGTGTATACACTGCCTGTACTCTCTTCACTTTGGTCACCTCAATTCTTGTCCTAGGTCTTTCATTTTGGTATGAATGTGTTCACAATAAAATTTCCTACAGGAGTATATGCATATAATGTCCAAAACCATGGCGTGCCCCACCCGCAGCCAAGCCGAAAGCAGGCCAAATTTATTTCACTTTTGATGCACCAATGCATCATTCCCACACATTCGTTTAAGAAGTTTTTGACACAATACTGCATCGTGCCCGTGACAAAGTGTTAAAGCACTGTCAAAATTTACACCAAACAAAAAGCAACTTTTAAAATGACAACTGCCAGCAGCATTGTTAAAAAGCATTAGGATATCTCGGTATTCCATTATGACAATTATTAAAGAGAAAACGAGGTAATAACTATTTTATCTCCGTGTATTAAGTCTTCAGAGTCTACGACGTACTTTCCAGCCTATCTTCAAATAGTCAGTGTGCATGTAGCAGCTATTTGGTCAAATAAACAAAAATGGATGGTGTGGAAGCAAAAAAAAACGTTTACACTTTATATTTTTACATCAGCCCAAACAGCATACAGAGAAAATGTTAAAATAACTAAAGCACGTAACCTAACCTAACAGCTGTCTGAGCAATCCTTGGCCTAGTACAGTATTTGCTCTATTAGGCCTAATACATGGATTTGCTTTGCAAGGCCTATGAATTTTATGTATGGCTTTGAACTTTTCATTCACTCCACAAAATTAATAGTACAAAATGCTCGACAAGTAGTTGCTACAGGTACTATAATTTTAGGAGGATGTGTTGATATTTCCAGAATGCCTATTTAAGGTAAGATCAATATGATAAATATCTTTCCTAAACTTTTAAGACCTGAAAATTGATTTTACGGCAAGGGTTGCCACAGCACACATTGAAGAGTCACTGTGGTGACTCTTCAAGCATGTCACAAACCATCCCAGTCCTTTCACCACAACTAAGTTAAGAGATTGTAACCCCTTGTAACCCACCCCCCTGTGCTGGCAGTCCCCCCCCCCCCACCCATTAACATTTTTATAATCTCATTCTTTGCCTTCTGACCATTACTTTTAAATCTGTCATTCCAATATTTTAATAAGTTTTCAAAGGCAATCATGCTGGATATACGCTGCATACTTTGACAAAGGCAAGAGTGGTAATGCTCTACGTGTGCAATGTTCAGGGTAGATTCAACACAAGGTTTAATTTTCACTAAGCAGTAAAATTGTCAGAGGAAACAGTATTTAAATATACTGTAAGAAGTTTTGGTCACAGCTAAACGGGAAGAAATTCTTGGTCCACAGGCCAAGCATCTCTAAACAAACAATATTTTGAATACTCTTAAAAAAAACTTCCCCCTTATCTCAATACAGTATATTAAAATATTGACACATAGGGAAGGAAAGCAAGTGAAAATGGCATGAGGTACAAGCAAGTACTGTATGTCAGAAGCACAACTTGCTCTTGTGATACTCCAGATTCACTCAGATGACTAGGTTAGCTTCCTCACAAAGTTCCCGAGGCGCCACACTATCGTCCCACTACCTCAATGACCACGCCTCCTCTCACTACAACAGAACTCCAATACAACCATTTTTCACAGACTCATACTTCAATTCTGATACCCTTGTGGTCTAAAATGATCCCAAACAGCTACGCAATCCTTCACGCCTTGTCTTCACGGCAAAGAATTAGACCATAACAGTTGTACACTGTTTTCTCCAGCAATGTTCAGGTGTAAATGATACATTTCTGACTCAAATCTATCTCTGCACCAGTTGCCTAGCTTCCACCAAACACTTTATCTCTTCTGTGATGAAACTCGCTTCTCACTAGTGCACGGCAGGATTTTGATGTTTTTAACTGAACACATACATAGCAGAATGTGCAAGTTTCTCCTACCTGGAGAAATCCAAAGTCTCATTCTGATAGGAATCTGCTCCATGGTGCCAACATGGACAATACTTGTCCTCCTATTAACAAGTGAGAATAATTGCAAATCATAATGCACTAATGTCCATAAGATAATAACCAACCCTATTTAATACAATACAGAAATGACAGCAGTTTGTATAATTATGGAACTGGATGGATCATATGATAAATTACAGCAAAATAAAATTGGGATGTAGCATGCTCTCTCATTGCTCAAGGGTCATGGGCACATGTTTGAGTAGGTACTGTATATACAGTACTTAAAGCAACTATTGTTAGAAAGTTTCTTAACCCAACCAAGGCTATGGTATCCACACTTTTCACAGTATGTAAGAATTTTGCAGTCAGCCCAGTCCCCCACACACTCAGTACAGTTGTATGGAAGATGCTCAATAAGGCATCAATATAACCCTGCCACATGCATAAGCATGTTAGGAATCTCCATACTATGCTCAGGGTTAAGTTATATACATCTACATATTTGGCAGAGTAGACTCATTTTATCGTCTGCCTAATCCTGCTGTTGCTGCTAAAAAATAAATAAGTAGGTGTCTTTTATGCTTTATCATCCTTACATTTTGGTTTTCATCATTTGTCTTCACCATTTACTCCAACTGGTTACTTCATCGATGCTTTATTTAGCTGAATAGTACTACTTCCTTCGCAAAACTCTTCTTTTGTAATCGAAGGTCTGTGTTACCTTGCTCCAAAGCTCGCATTTCACACCTTGTTTGTCAATTGGTCAAGTAAGTCAGCCTCAGGTGTTTACCAAGGCCCAGGGTTTTTAAGAAATTTTACTACCTTCAAGGCTTTTTTTTTTATTTTTACTTCCATGACTAAAAAGATGTAGATATATGGAGGACAAAATGAACGTTTACGGGAAAGTTTCTTCCTGGCCATTAATGCTTAATATTGTAATACTAAATCAGCCAGTCATCTCACCCAATACTTGGCATTTTTTATGAAACTTATCAATCCATTGAAAATGCAACATAGTAAAAATTACATCACAGTAATACTGACATTTAGTTTACATTGACCTCAATATACTGGGTGGGTTGCACAGTTCTGGTTGGGTATTTTACCAAGAGGAAAAAATCGGGAGAATGGGTTTAGCATTTACTCTTGGTACTTGAACGAGGTAATAAGACATAAGAAACATTGGTGTCCACATGAACTTGAGAAACACTAAGCAGCAGTTACTTACACAAGCTTCTGTAAACCAGCTTTTGGGGTTCTGGTGAGCGTTCATGTAACAGTCTGGACAGGTCTCTATTTCACTCATCTCCTGCTTCAGGATCTTCACCAGCATCCGTGCCATCGATGAAACCTTAGAGTTGGCTGAAAACACAAGATCAAAATGATTATCTTGACATGATGTGATGGCTTATGAAACCACATCAAGAGTTATGGTGCCTTACTCCCTCCTCAGAGCTTCTATCAGGTGGTGGCCAGAGAAGGGGTCTCCAGTAAACTATCACTGCACAAGCCTTTCACTCTTCAAGCTCTCGTAACCCACTCGTCCCAGACTCTCGCTCTCTCCCGTATTGTTGCCATCCTCCCTCCCAAGACACTTGTCGTCTCCCCCTACCACAGGATCCCTTTATACAATTATAAGTAGACTTATTATATTTACGGAGACTTCTTGAAAGAACAAACACTACTTTTCATATAAATTTTCACTAAAGTAAATTTATGCAGTGAAAAATATTTTTCAACTACCAGTATTCGTATATTCAATAAAACTTCTTTCACTGTAACAACCTGCAGATGATACTACTCCAACCTACCACAAACACCCAATCATCATTATGGAATTTCTCACCTCCATTTGTTGAGAAGGAATCTGCTAGGAGAAAAATAGCCTGCCCCTAATTGGGAAGCTGCAGCTAGCTAGGACTATCGAGGTACCCCTAGGCCAAAGACTGATCTTTCTCTAGGATGTAAACCACAACAATTGACTAACTTCCAGGGACATGTAGTATTTACAGCTAAGAAAATAGAAGCATTGAATGTAAGGAAATGTGTCCAAAACTTGCCCTGCCTGGGACTTGAACCCCAGGCTCAATCAGTTGTGAGTCTACTGGTCTTATCACAGCACTAAGGTGGTTAGATATAAATAAGATTTTCCCCCTTATGTACCCACAAGTCATCTACAGTTTAATCCTCTTCTTATGTCAGTCACATTTGTGGGTGCATGTTCCTAAACTCCAACCCTAGGTACAATATTAACTGATAAATGCATCAATACAAAGTCATCACAAACATGTACCGAGAATGTTTTTTGAGGGAACTATCTGCTTCTGCTTACAGATAACATTACACACATTTTTTTTAATGAATTTTAGTGATTAGGCTAAAATGATATTAATCGATAGCTGCCATGACCAGGCTAACACAAATCAAGATACTGTACATTACTAAGTATAGTACAGTATATGATTTTTGGGGTATTTTCCTAATTTTTATAACAAATCTATTCCCCCCCCCCTTGTGGGGTCTGGCTGGCATATAGCTATAATGTGTATTAATACATTCTGAAAACATGCTGCCAAATGTGTTAACTGAAAAAATACTAAATATGATATGAAGCTCCCTCTTAAGTGGGCCATGTCGTGAAGATAAGCATGTAGATGACGAAGAAGAAAAAAAATTGTAAGGTAGGGATTCCATTTGGAATAATGTACTATTGTGGATAACTCTTTAATTTAGCATTCCTGCCAGTGCAGTGGCTAGTCTGCATGTGCGCAGTGCAGTGTCACCGTGTGATGTCCACTCTCGGAAAAAGAATAAACATCAATGCAATAAAGATCAAGAACATTCAGTGATTAAAATATATAAATAGAAAGCAGTGTTAAATGTAGAAACCAGTTTGGAACTCCATAAGACAGAAATAAATAAATTGGAGATACAAGTTTGAGTGACACATTGTTGGAACACAGTGTGGGTGCACAAAGAAACCCGCTGGCGCCAGAGTTACTCGGGAGGCGGTAACAACAGGGACCAGTCGACGTCAATGTGTGCCTAGGACTTACCTATGCAGTGGCTAGTGGTGCATAAATGTCTTAGTTTAGGAGTAGGATTTATATATATATATATACAAGTTGTGTACATGTTCCCCTTGTGGTAGGCTGTTTAAGTGCCTTGTGTTTGCCCTCCCCAGTGTGGGTATTTCTGAGCACGTGGTTGGTGCTCTGTCTTAAATGTATTTTTATATCTATTGTACTAGCAAGGTCCTTGTGTTATGAGAACCTCTTCAATTTGTACTAGGAGTGAGAAGATTGTGATTAACGTAACTTTTAAGTCCCGAGTTGAGTAGGACCAGTATTTAAAGCCCTTCTCAAAAGAAATCTATGTTCTATGAAATTATTGCTCTAATATTAATAGATATCCTGTAAAGTAACTGTAAACCTCAGAAATAATCCTTGTAAAGTAACTGTAAGCCAGTGAAATAAAGCTATGTAGAAATAAGACAAATGTGTGTTTATTGTCCAAAGTATGCTAAGATAAACTTGATCTCTCCTAGTATTACTAAGAAGTACAGGTTTTGATAGTTCGTACTCTAGGGTGTGGGTTAGAAGCTTGTGCCTTTACCACAGGATAACCAATGTATACAAAACAATGCCACAAGCTTTGCTAAGAATTGGGAAACAAAATTCCATATTCACCTCCATTAAATATTACAGAGTTGTGAACAATCCATCTAGCATCTGAAGAGAACGCTTCTGTTGATCCGTAAAACTTGCGCTTTATGTTCCGCTCCAGCGAAGTAAAGTCTACAGGATGAACTACAATATCATCGTATGTTGGAAATTCTGCTGTGTCCACAGGTTTTGTAAAGGGCTCCATCTGCAACACAAATAAACTATATAAAAGGTGCAACTTCCCCAATAGCATCAATATGCAGTGAACATTTATGTGACGATTATAGTCAATATAAAGTTCTCGGCTCACTGGAGACTCCGTGATGTTCTTTATAGGCCTGGTCTTTGTTCCGTGTAAAACAGGCTCATTATTCACATGATGTACTGTAAGCCTGCTGCACCACAGGACATGACAGCACCGAGAGACTGACTTGAAATACAACTTGAGTTAACATAACTTCATTAGACAAAGAATTCAACATCCACTTTAGTACATGAATTGAAATTGATCCATTTAAAGTGACTTTAGCTTTAACGTGCCACTGAGGCGCTGTTAATGACCAAGCTACAACAGACCTCCAGCACTACAGTACTCCAACTGTGATCTACTCAGGAGAAGGAGTACTAACAAGCAACACTACTGCATTCCTCTACAAAACACAATAATATCGTATTCACCACCTTGGTCCTGTTGCTTGCGGTTTTGATGTAATCTGCAGCCTGAGAGAATACCACCATCTAAAATATACAAATTTATATCATTAATAAACATAATATAACAACAACAGCACATTCTCGGTGGAGAAGCACATACGTGACGGGAGGGACATTGCGCACAACAGCTGATGAAATAATGGCTAAGAATGTTTGCAATTGGATGGAAAATTAAATCATAAGTTTTGTTTTGGTTCCAAACTAGCAATAATCATTTTACAGTACATTATTGTATTTATAATGGCAATATTTAACAAGACCAAACCAACAGCATTCCCTGAAGATGTTAAAAAGTGATTTGTGTCAGCCGCAAGACATTATCAAGTCAAAACAGGAAAATAGTGTGGCAACACTTCATGATAATGGTTCAGCACACATACCAAAAATTTCAGTTTTGAACATCTCTAACGTGTGCTTTTGGTGTTTACATTGATTCAGCTGCAATACTATGACTGTACTTGTGTAAATATTGCTTTACAACTTAAGATTAAAGTAGGCCTACAAAACAAACCACCCAAACTAGGCCTAACTTACAAAAACTAATCAGAGGACCTTACTACTGTATATATATTTTAAAGCAACTTTTATTACATCCAGTATAAAAAATTAATATTCCATCCAACAGCCAACATTCTTCTAGACATATTTCATCAAATTAGGTATATGGGGAGGGGTCCCTTGCTTCACACATGTACAATTCAACCCGAGAAAGGCTCAAATAATAACGACTATATACACATATATTGTACACAGGGGAAACATCAAAGACATGACCACTTCCCGTCATGAAGCTCCGATCTTCATGATCTGATCTGATCAAATCTACAGATCTGATGAAGTCCTTGCATGTAAAAATGTCCTCTACAAATAAAATTTAAATCATGGCATTTCTGAACATTATTGCCAGCACTTCTAACTCCAACTATTTACTGCACTTTATATTGATTAAATTATGAAAAATCCTGCACAACTGCCAAATTTTCCATCGACTATGAGTAAAGTATGAATTTTGAAAACTTGAATAAAATAAATAACTAGGATTAAAAAAAATTCTATAACTATGATTACTTGGGTAAGAAACTAATTTTTAAGAAAATAATCAACTTAGATTTGTAAAGAACTTATAATCAACTGATACAAATAATATATACAAATATATACAAATTATATAACACACATTGCAATACAAATGCTGTATATAGAAACTTATGAACACTGTACCACACTAATTCAGCTGCTAAGATTTTTCAGATGCAGCATTACAGAAATATGATCAAATTAAGACACAGTACAGTAATAACTCGTCTAAAGATTCTATACACCCACACTTCCCTTCCACTCTACTTTTCTCGTCCCCACTTCCCATCCCTCCACATGCCCTTACTTCCGTTCTACTTGCCCCTGCTTTCCTTCTACTACTTGTCCCCACTTCCCATCCACTACTCGCCCCCTGCTTCATTATTGTTACAATAAGCAATGCTTGCCTCCCATTGTATTGATCGAGGCTCCTTCCTAACATACCCATGATCTACATCTGTGCTGCCTACTCCAAGACACCACCACCTCTCACAACCCATCAAGGGGTCACTACCACCATCAAGTCAACTAATTATCAAACCAAGTCAAACATGCACATATTTATTTAATTTGATGGTTTATAGTACACACACACACATTCATTCACTTGTATTCTTGTTACATAATTACCATACAGTATTAAACTCTTCACATAACAGCTAACATTGGGGCAGTAAATAATGTGCACATCACTTGGTTCAAGATGGTTAAGTCTGGCAAGCAGCTGGTTGGGTGACCATACAGAAAGCATCACCTAGGCTAGGGATAACCTCAATAAGATTTCTGTCCTTGATAATAGAATGTCAAATTATATTTATATATACCAAGTCTTTTACCAAGGTAGTTGTCAAGGGACTCGGCTTGAGGCACAAGGGACAGCTGTTTTCAGAGTACCGGGATGTCATAAATTAGCCCTACTCAACATGGCAGTCAGCTACAATAAGGCTAACACTGCTACATTACATGACAACTCAAGCGTGGGAACAAGCAAAGTCCAGCATGACTTAAGTGGCAAGCCAATGACCTTGTGGGTCTTAACATTAAAAAGATCCTTGGCAGTATAATGTTCATCAGCTCCTTAATTAAATGACATTTGGGTTAAGAATAACTAGTTTATGACAGGCAACTATAAAAACCCACACACACTTAAGCCATTGCCATTGTCATCAAGATACTGAGGACAAAATTCTGCCAAAGCTCCTATCACCAAGAAAGCTGAGGTGCTGTCACTATGATGATGATGATCAAGATGTTTGATCAATATCTCCGAGGAATCTGTTCCAATGCTGCTTTCATCACCAAGAAGTCACTATCAACACACTTGATTACTAGGGCAGCGAACTCTTGATATGTTCGTGCAAAGATTCTAACTTGTAACTCAGTGAAGCCTGTGCATTAGCCGAGTTTGTAAGCAAGTACTCGGTTGGCCCACAAATACTTTTATTAATGTGCAAATAACGTTATGCTATACAGTACATATTAAACTTGTGTTCAATGTACAGTTTAAGTAGACACTGCAAACTACAGGTATTTAAATATCCTTGTATTGAAATACAAAGATGTCAAGTCTTAGAACAACATCTCTTATGAACAACAAAAATTGCTGAGGGCCTAATTGACCCATACAAAACTGTCCCTATTTACAGTCAAACTCACTCATATAGAGCCTATAACTAATCTCCATTTGAAACATTCCAGCAATCCCATGCCAGTTTTATTACCCAGTAATATATTCCATAAATTTACAACCATATTTTCAAACTACTGTATTTAGTAAACTTTTTTCTGAATCTAATGTTACCAAATTTTCATTTTACCTATACCTACTAAACTTTCTCTTCCACAACCTGTAAGACCAATATAGATATTCCCTCATTACTCATGTACAGTATAGCATAGTCATGTGTCTAAGTTGACAGATTCAGTTCATGCAGCAACATTGTTAATTTGAGTAAAATGTGTATAAATATATTCATTGCTCTCTAATTATGCCTGCATACAATAATCACAAATATTCTTCAAGGTAAAGTCCAGAGATGCACGAATCTTCACATTTCCATGTGGTAACAACCGCATATGAAAAATTACACACAGCTCTGTACAGTATTACAATGACAAATACAGAACAGTAAGAATTGTCAGCATCTACAGTTTGCTCCACACCAGACAACAGCTCAAGTTATGTTGTTGCAACTCACCCCTGGCATGGTCTTTAGACGGTTGAGAGCAAACTTCAGAAGTGTACAAAGCTGCTCCACGGATATCAACTGCATAGATCGTGATCTGTAAACAGAGAGAGACAAGTTCAATAATATACCAGATATGTTTAGCTACATATAAATAATTCATTCTCGAGACTAACAATCGTAGAGCCCCGATTCGATTCCCGGGTGGGGCAGAAATAGTTGGGCACATTTCCTTTCATCTAATGCATTTTTTTTACCTAGCAGTAAATAGGTACCCAAAAGTTAGACAGCTATTGTGAGGTTGCATCCTGGGAAAGGTCAGCAATTTGATCCAGGGGCACCTTGCTACAAGCACCTAGAAATATTTAAGGTTGACAACCTTAAACCTTTTTAGTGTCAACACATTTACTGAAGACTGCCTAATTCAGTGGTTCACAACCCCTTTAGGGTCATTAGAGTATTAGGAAACAGATTCGTCCCAAACAAAGGTTGGGAACCATCAGCCTAATTCATCTAAAGGCAATACAGAATGCCCTTAAGGAAGTGGGTTTGGTGCAATGTTGCGTGCACAGACTCTCTATTATCAAGTGGTACTTAACAAATCTTAATTTCAGGAAAACAAAGCATAGATGGAGCACACATCATGGCTTTGAGGGCAGTTTATAGACTAGATATACAGTATGGGGCTGGGAATGTTGGATCTGGGTGGATGTCGGGGGAGGGGGGGGGGCTGTGTGGATGTTGAGGGGGGGGGGCCTGGGTGGATGTTGGGGGGAAGGGGGGGCTGGGTGCACATGGAGGGAGCATGGAGGTTTGGTGCAATGTTGCGTGCACTTTGGGGGCACATGGAGGGCCTGGGTGAGATCCGCGAGGATGGCGAGGGCTCTGGCCCCCGGGGATGGCGAGGGCTCTGGCCCCCGGGGATGGCGAGGGCTCTGGCCCCCGGGGATGGCGAGGGCTCTGGCCCCCGGGGCTGGTGAGGGCTCTGGCCCCCGGGGATGGTGAGGGCTCTGGGCCCCCGGGGGTGGTGAGGGCTCTGGCCCCCGGGGATGGTGAGGGCTCTGGCCCCCCGGGGATGGCGAGGGCTCTGGCCCCCCGGGGATGGCGAGGGCTCTGGCCCCCGGGGATGGCGAGGGCTCTGGCCCCCGGGGATGGCGAGGGCTCTGGCCCCCGGGGATGGCGAGGGCTCTGGCCCCCGGGGATGGCGAGGGCTCTGGCCCCCGGGGATGGCGAGGGCTCTGGCCCCCGGGGATGGCGAGGGCTCTGGCCCCGGGGATGGCGAGGGCTCTGGCCCCCGGGGATGGCGAGGGCTCTGGCCCCCGGGGATGGCGAGGGCTCTGGCCCCCGGGGATGGCGAGGGCTCTGGCCCCCGGGGATGGCGAGGGCTCTGGCCCCCGGGGATGGCGAGGGCTCTGGCCCCCGGGGATGGCGAGGGCTCTGGCCCCCGGGGATGGCGAGGGCTCTGGCCCCCGGGGATGGCGAGGGCTCTGGCCCCCGGGGATGGCGAGGGCTCTGGCCCCCGGGGATGGCGAGGGCTCTGGCCCCCGGGGATGGCGAGGGCTCTGGCCCCCGGGGATGGCGAGGGCTCTGGCCCCCGGGGATGGCGAGGGCTCTGGCCCCCGGGGATGGCGAGGGCTCTGGCCCCCGGGGATGGCGAGGGCTCTGGCCCCCGGGGATGGCGAGGGCTCTGGCCCCCGGGGATGGCGAGGGCTCTGGCCCCCGGGGATGGCGAGGGCTCTGGCCCCCGGGGATGGCGAGGGCTCTGGCCCCCGGGGATGGCGAGGGCTCTGGCCCCCGGGGATGGCGAGGGCTCTGGCCCCCGGGGATGGCGAGGGCTCTGGCCCCCGGGGATGGCGAGGGCTCTGGCCCCCGGGGAGGGCGAGGGCTCTGGCCCCCGGGGATGGCGAGGGCTCTGGCCCCCGGGGATGGCGAGGGCTCCGGCCCCCGGGGATGGCGAGGGCTCCGGCCCCCGGGGATGGCGAGGGCTCCGGCCCCCGGGGATGGCGAGGGCTCTGGCCCCCGGGGATGGCGAGGGCTCTGGCCCCCGGGGATGGCGAGGGCTCTGGCCCCCGGGGATGGCGAGGGCTCTGGCCCCCGGGGATGGCGAGGGCTCTGGCCCCCGGGGATGGCGAGGGCTCTGGCCCCCGGGGATGGCGAGGGCTGTGGCCCCCGGGGATGGCGAGGGCTGTGGCCCCCGGGGATGGCGAGGGCTGTGGCCCCCGGGGATGGCGAGGGCTGTGGTCCCCGGGGATGGCGAGGGCTGTGGTCCCCGGGGATGGCGAGGGCTGTGGTCCCCGGGGATGGCGAGGGCTCTGGCCCCCGGGGATGGTGAGGGCTGTGGTCCCCGGGGATGGTGAGGGCTGTGGTCCCCGGGGATGGTGAGGGCTGTGGTCCCCGGGGATGGTGAGGGCTGTGGTCCCCGGGGATGGTGAGGGCTGTGGTCCCCGGGGATGGTGAGGGCTGTGGTCCCCGGGGATGGCGAGGGCTGTGGTCCCCGGGGATGGCGAGGGCTGTGGTCCCCGGGGATGGCGAGGGCTGTGGTCCCCGGGGATGGCGAGGGCTGTGGTCCCCGGGGATGGCGAGGGCTGTGGTCCCCGGGGATGGCGAGGGCTGTGGTCCCCGGGGATGGTGAGGGCTGTGGTCCCCGGGGATGGTGAGGGCTGTGGTCCCCGGGGATGGTGAGGGCTGTGGTCCCCGGGGATGGTGAGGGCTGTGGTCTGAGATGGATGGGATGGGTGTGGGAGTAGATGATGAGGGTTAGCGATCTAATAATGACTAAATTTGTGAAGGATGTACGCTGTCCGGGGGTCTAATGAAGGATAGGTGTGTGTTGGGAGGGTGGAGGGAGGTCTGGGGATGTAAGATGGCGTCGTGGCTGGGGTCTGGTAATGAGCATAGCTAGTGGCGCTGGAGAAAGGTTTACGAGACAAAGCCAGAGCAGTGGGCGGTAACTACCACCACCAACAACAACAATCCACCCCCAACCCCCACCGAGAAGCCCCCCCCCCGTCTTAACTGGCACCACTGCTTGCATGCCAACCCATCTTGATCCTCCACGCTAATCCCCTGGCCTAGCACTCTTCCCTCTCCCTCACGGTAGGCCACGCTCGGTGCTCACCCTCCTCTTGGGTGTGCAACGACAAGTTAAAGGGATGAATGGTCACGCGGAAGGAACCTTGCGGAGTGGGGGGGGGGGGAGATAAAGGGAGGGGTTAGGGTGAGCAGCATCAACATGGGTTGGGGAAAGCATCAAAGAGGTAGGGGGGATGATAGAGGGAGTTTCAGAGGTTGGGGAGAATGGAGAGGGGTTGGCGTGAGAAACATTGGGGCTGGGAGGGGGGGGTGGAGAAGCCAGACGTGGGGGGGAGGGGGGGTGACCGAGGGTAGGGGGTTAATAACGTGCTTCGCCTCGGCCTCACTACATCATGACTCCCCGCCTATTATTAGGCCCCGGTCACCCGAACTCTCTCCTCCCCCCGTCCACCTCCGCCACTTACACTCTTGTAATTCACGGACACCCTGGCTTGGCGCTGCTGGGGGTCGAGTGCTAGTAATGAGCTTAGCTTGAGCAGCGGAGGAGGGTGGCGGGGTGGGGGATGTAGCTGGTGCTGGCGGGGCAGCCACCTTGACGATGGAGCACCTGGCCAAGTGGGGAAAAACGTCCACCCCGCTGGCAGCAGGCCAGAGAGCCTGTCAGACGGTGGTGGTGAGAGATGGTGGTGGGGGGGTTCCCCCCTTCAGGGCAAAATTAAAATGGTGGCGGGGTCGGCCACAACACATGTAGCAGGAGGCATGACAGGAGATTGGTTGACTGGCCTGCCCCCCCCCATCCCCACCAATCAAGAGTCACGGCTGCCACACCACATCGATCTCGGTGGGCGCATGGTGAGGCCGCAGGCGCCGCAGTAACATCACCGGCTGATCCCTACTGCTCCGCCCACACTCATAAACCCACCCACCCACCCACCCCGCCCACCTCCAGCCTGGTAGAGGAGGAGGACCGCCCGAGGGAGGAGGCACGCCTCGCCTCGCCTCACCTCTCCACACCACACACACGGCTCCGCTCACCGTGCCCTCTCCTCCACTTGTTGACATCCTTAAACAATCCCCACGCCATATTTGTTATGTCATTACACGACCACAGTCGAAAGAAACAGGAGAGAAAAAAGAGAGAGATAGAGAAAGAGAGAACGAGAGAGGGAGGGAGAGAAAAAAAAAAGAGAAAGAAAACAGGGAAAGAAAGAAGAGAGGGAGGGAGTGGGAGAGAGAGGAAGAGGAAAGAGATGAAGGCGAGAGGAAGGGGGAGAGGAAGATGAAGGAGGAGAGAGAGGAAGAACAGTCACCATATAACTTGACAAGAGCCTTGAGAGCCGTACTCAAGGTGACTACCGCCGCCATAAAGATGCCCTGGCGTGGAGCATCATCAACAGTGCTCCCTCACCATCTACTACACCCCATCACCCAGATAACACCTCCCCTCAGCATCCTCCACCATTGATCCCCCCCCCCCACCACCCCCACCACCACCACACACAAACACATCCATTCTCCCCCATTTCCCGGAAATAAAGCAGCGTGACGCTTCACAAGGAGACCAAGTTGCCAATAACACAGGGCGAGGCACCAGCCGCAACAATTGGTGGTAATCCTTCTGGGCGCAGCTGCTCGCTTGGGTCACCGAGGACGCCTGTGTTGGGCGGCGAGGTATCCGCCATCGGGTTTATGCCACGCCACACGGAATACATCACTCCTCTACCAACAGGCTCAAGGTCCCGCTGGCCGCGGTGGACCCCCGCCCCGCCCCGCCTCGCCCCGCTGCACGACCCGTCCCGATTATACACAACCACCTTTATGTACCTTCAACGTCCATCGTCGTAGTCATCTGCCATTAGAATCAAGTTCCCTCACGCCGGAAGTTGGCAACTTTAGTTCTGTATCGAGGCTGAACGCGGCCGTCACTCTGGCGTCCCACAAGGATATAATGTGAAAACTTTGTAACCCACGAGTCAACGTGGAACTGTGCAGCCTTACATGGCCAGGCATAAGCCGGTTGGTAGACCAACTAACCTGCAGGGGCATAATTAACTCTGACCCAAC